GGCAGGACCTTTGGCAGCCAGGGACAGCTTGCGGAAGGCCTCGGCCTGCGCAGGAGCTCAGCTCGGCATTGCAGTTGTTGGGTTTAGGGTTTAGGGTTTAGGGTTTAGGGTTTAGGGCTTAGGGGCTTAGGGGCTTAGGGGCTTAGGGGCTTAGGGGCTTAGGGGCTTAGGGGCTTAGGGTTTACGGTTTAGTGTTGCCGTGGCTGTCTCTCTCGGCCAGGCTGTCTCTGTACTAGGGTTTAGGGCTTAGGGTTGCGGAGCCACTTTTAGCAACATTCAGGGTCGGGGGGGAAAAGGCCAGTAAGTCATTAGGATCATCATGGCCATAAATGATGAAGGAAGGTTCCTTTTGCAACAGGTCTTTTAGGATCCAGGCCTGTAGAGTCCTTAAACTGCACACGACGAGAGTACTAGGCTTCCGTGCAGGCTTCTTGCGGCCGCAGGGTACAACTTGCCGCTGCACGTAAGTTCTCAGTTGATATTCCGAAACTCTAACCCCTGAACCCCTGAACCCCTGAACCCCTGAACCCCTGAACCCCTGAACCCCTGAACCCCTGAACCCCTAACCCCTAACCCCTAAACCTCAAACCTAAACCCTAAACCCTAAACCCTAAACCCTAAACCCCAACCCCGATATTATAAACCGATGTGGCCCTTGCCTTCGTCCCTGTGATGTTGCACAGTTCCTGAGTCGGGAAAAGAGGTGGTGCAAGTGAAGGTTGCCTCTAGACTACTCTGTAAGGTTCATAGAGTTTAGGGTTTAGGGTTTAGGGGTGTAGGGTGTAGGATTTAGGGTTTAGGGTTTTAGTGTTGTGGGTACGCCAACCCTCTACACCTAGGAAAAGCCTGTCCACCATCCTTCTTTACCCGAGCTGCTGTTCCCTCATACCCAAGTCCGAATACCGTACTCCCCTTAGGATCCCACAGCGAAACCCCAAACCCTACTTCAACCCCCATGTCTTTCAAGACAACCTTCGGAAACTTTTAGAAGCTACAGACATCAATACAGTTCCCACGACCAGATCTTGGCAGCGTGGCTGGGACTTCGACTCTAGTTGAGTTTAGGGTTTAGGGTGTAGGGATGTGTAGGGTGTAGGGTTTAGGGTTTAGGGTTTTGGGGTACTTACATTGGTTAATAAGTACTGGGCCCCCCAGCTGCAAAGCGAGTGGGGCCCAGCAGTTGGAGGTGGCCAGGCTTGGCGCCCTGACTCAAGTGGCATGCAGGGTTTAGGGTTTAGGGTTTAGGGTTTAGGGTTTAGGGTTTAGGGTTTAGGGTTTAGGGTTTAGGGTTTAGGGTTTAGGGCTTAGGGCTTAGGGCTTAGGGCTTAGGGTTTCGGGTTTAGGGTTTATGGTTCAGGGTTTGGGGGTAACCGCTACAGCAAACTCCAAAAGCTGCAACATCCTTATCCCGACCCCAAAAGGTATAGCAGAGGGAAGCCCAGCTCTAAACCTCCTTAAACCATGCTCCAAGTAGGTTTAGGGTTTAGGGTTTAGGGTTTAGGGTTTAGGGTTTAGGGTTTAGGGGAGAGGCTTCGGGGTTCAAGGTTTAAGTTAAAGCTTCAAGTCCCTTCTGACAAAGTTCAGGTTTTCGCTGTCACAATTGCTTGGAGACCTGACCATCTAGGGTGGCTGTCAAAATGATGATCCCCTTTCAGGGTACCCTAAATACTAGGTGCCGTATTATACTAGGGATCCAAAAAGGGACCATAATTCCTAAACCCTAAACCCTAAACCCTCAACCCTAAACCCTAAACCACCTATATAGGGTCTAGGCGTTCGCGACGATGGGAGGCAAGGATTTAGGCTGCAGATCTTCAATCGGCTCAAGCGGGTTTCCCTAAACCCTAAACCCTAAACCCCTAAACCCTGAACCCTAAACCCTGAACTCTAAACCCGAAATCCTAAACCCTAAACCCTAAATCCTAAACCCTAAAACCTCAACCCAAACTCCTCCCTAAACCCTTAACCCTAAACACTAAACTCTAGACAGGTCCCAGACCCCAGATGTTGAGGACTTGCAGCGGCCTCTTCCCAGAAGAGCCGCATCTGCAAGTCTTCCACGACCTCCTGATGATCGTAGGTGCATTATAGGTTGAGGGTTTAGGGTTTAGGGTTTAAGGTTTTCGGGTTTTAGTGTTTAGGGTTTGGGGTTTTAGGGTTTTGGGGCTTTAGGGGTTCGGGTTTCGGGTGGATGTGCAGTTTCGGACACGGTACACCGCGCCAGTGCCTTCACACGAAGAAGGTCGCGAGCTGCATCGTGCTACTTGTCGTGATGTGCCCATGTGCTTCTGGAAGCCCTAAACCCTAAACCCTAAACCCTAAACTCTAAACCCTAAACCCTTAACCCTACAGAGTCAGTCCTCGACATCCTCAGGCTTCCTGGTACCTGGCAACAAGGAGAGAAGCCGTTGAACTTTTGGAGCGATCTCTGCCAGTAAGGTTGAACTTAAGGTGGAAGGGTTTAGGGTTTAGGGTTTAGGGTTTAGGGTTTAGGGTTTAGGGTTTAGGGTTTAGGAAGTTCAAGATATATACGAGGGTTTGCGGCCAGCGAGGTTTCGGATAAGGACTGTGCGGGCAGTCCCCACGTTTCCAGGTTCGTGAAAAGCATCACCCAACATCTCTTCTGCAAGATCTTTCGGAAGACACCCTTTACATGGGGGTTTCCGAAAATCTGGGTACCTTTTGGGGGTCCTTATTATAAGAAAATCCTACTTTCTTTGCTAGGTCAAGGTCAACAACTCAGAACCGAGTAAAAGGTTTCTCCTACCCCAATCGCCCCCCACTCTGTGGGGAAGTCATGCGTCTCGCTTTCCGAGAATCAAAAGCAGCCCATTCTGACACGTGGAGGGCTTCACGCGTCTCGCGGACGGGGCAGAGGGTGCAAAACCCTACAGCAAGTACCGAAACGCAATCCTAAACGGCTTTGGCTAGCCGAAGCCTGGAACCTGCAGTCCCTAGTACAGGAATGTTACGATCTCCTTAGAACCCTGAAAGACCTGTACTAACAAGAAAAAGCACTAAATAGCAGCGCTCGCAACGTCCATGATAGTGGCATGAGTCATATGATATGAGGCACCCCTTAAAATACCCGTTCAAAGTAAGTAAGCCCCTGTATTGCCCACCAAGCACCCGGAAACCCCAACCCCACCGCAGAATCCTTGAAGCCCTATCGCCCTAAACCCCAACCCTAACCCCCTAAACCGAACTCCTAAACCCCTAAACCCCCAAACCCTAAGCCTACACCCTAAACCCTAAACCCTAAACCCTAAACCCCAAACGCCCCCAAAAACCCACACGAATCTCCTGGGAGGGCCTCGCCGGCCTCGAAGCCTCTGCGCCTCTTCCGCCGCCCATTTGCCGGCGCCCAGCGCCCGAGCGCATAGGAGCACAGCCTGCGCAGTGCTTAGAAAGTTTAGGGATGTAGGGGATGAGGGACTTTGGGGTTTAGGGTTTAGGGTTTAGGGTTATAGGGTTGAGGGTTGAGGGTTTTGAACCCAATAAACCCCACTGAACCCTGCAAAGCAAACCCTGCAAACCCGGCAAACCCGGCAAACCCTGTAAAAACCCCACTCCCTGCAAACCCTGTAAACCCTATAAACGCTGTAAGCCCTGTCAACCTCCTGAACCCTATAAACCCCACAAACCCTGTAAATCCCATAAATCTTGTAAAACCGCCTACCATCCCCCCCCCCCCCCCCCGAACCCTACAAACCCTATGAACCCTAAACCCTAAACCGGTTTAGGGTTTAGGGTTTAGGGTTTAGGCTTTAGGGTTTAGGGTTTAGGGTTTAGGGTTTAGGGTTTAGGGTAAACCTTATGAACACTGTAAACCCTCGCATTTGGGGTCTCGGGAGTTGCCAACTTCGCGGCAGTGGGAGCTGGATGGCTACTGTACACGGCTTTCGCCCTCAAAGCCGAGTCTAGTTGAGTTTAGGCTTTTAGGGCTTAGGGCTTAGGGCTTCGGGCTTGGCGTTTCGGGCTTAGGTTTTAGGGATGCTGACAGGCTGTATATGGTGTAGGGTGTGTGGTTTGGGGGCACGGGCGGAGGGGGGGGGGTGGGGGGTGGGGTGGGTGGGGGGTGGGGTGGTGGGGGGGGGGGTGTGAGGGAATTTGGGAGGTGTTTTGGCATTGGGCTTAAGATGTTGAGGTTGGCTGCGGCTTCAGGGTTAAGCGGAGAAGTCAGCATGCGCTATAGCACCCTAAACCCTAAACCCTAGACCCCAAACCGTAAGCCCTGAACCCTGAACCCTGAACCCTGAACCCTGAACCCTAAACCCTAAACCCTAAACCCTAAACGTGTTTCCTAGCGGCTCTGGGTCAAACATTGGCAGCCGGATCTGTCCTAGACTACTTGGAGGTTCAGGGTACTTATAACCCCAATTACAACTGTACTTATAAGCCCCCTAAGTCCCCTAAGTAGGTTATAAGTAGATTTAAATTGTGGTTACAAGTAGATTTATAATTGTGGTGATAAGTAGGTTATAAGTAGATTTATAATTGTGGTTATATAGTACCCATGAACCTCCAAGTAGGCGGGGGGAAGCTGCAACGAGTAGCCTCGATGCGGCCGCCCAGCCAAGTATCTTGCTGGCCATGATCCTGAGCAGGAAGCTGGGTCGTCCAGCAGGGCTTGGGGTTTGGGGTTTATAGGGTTTATAGGGTTTATAGGGTTTATAGGGTTTATAGGGTTTATAGGGTTTATAGGGTTTATAGGGTTTAGGGTTTAGGGTTTAGGTACCCTTAGAAGCTGGTGGTGCTGTAACGAATTGGTTACTAGTAGGGAATTAGTGGAGGTAGGTGCCCTTATGTCCCGCATTACCCTTTCAGGGCTGAGCCGAATTCCCAGATGCCCTACCAGGAACCGGCTCAGGCAATGCTGCCATATTGCTTCTCGAGGTTGACGTGCTCGTTTAGGGTTTAGGGTTTAGGGCAATAGGGATTGTCTTTTTTGGGGGTGGGACCCCCAAAAAATCAGCAAGACGAACAAGCCAAAAGGAACTCTAGGCGCACATTGTGGGGCAGTTCTGATCTAAAGGTCCTCTGTCAGGCAGCTTCCGCAAATAAAGGCTCCCATCCAAAGAACCCTGACACGAAGCCGCCCGACGCCGACGCGCGTGCGTGCAACTCGCCTCCGGATCCCGTGAGATCGCCGGCAGGAGCAATGTGTCGTCGCCCAGGAGGATCAAACGCACGTCTTCCACCTGGCGGTGGCAGGTTAGGGGTTTTCAGGATCATTTCACAAAAACCTAACTGGGGCCTCCTAGAATGAAGCCTTTCATTTAACCCCCCCCCCCCCCCCCCGCCCCCCTAGAGGCTAGGGTTACACGGAGAGCGGCTCCTGATCAAGTCTTAGTTGTCCAGTAACCTGGCGGAATTAAAGGTTAACCTTTTGGAATATAAGGGGATGATACTACGCCAAAAAGGTTAAAGGTTACCTGCTCTACTTCTCGGAAGGTAACTTGTGGAACAGGATGCCTTATACAGATCTCCTCTCCCAGCCAACAGTAGAACAACCCCTGCATACAAAGGTCCTGTGAGGGTTTAGGACACAGGGTTTAGGGTTTAGGGTTTAGGGTTTAGGGTTTAGGGTTCAGGGTTTTGGGTATATAAGGGTTTAGGCTAGGCCTCTGTCGCCGCCCCATTCCGCCATTCACAAAGGCTATCAGGAGGCCTCACTACTTCAACTCAGCAAGAGGCCCGGGCCAAAGCCCAAGGGGAAACCCGAAACACCGGGAGGAAGGTGCAGGCCCTGGTACACGGTGCGCAAACAACAATGTTTGCTGGGGCTCTTTGCTGGGCTCAGGTAAACGCTAAAAACCCTAAAAACCCAAAAAAAACCTATAAACTCAAAAAACGCTAAACGCCAGGGTTATCGGCTTCAGCTGAAAGCTTGAGGAACTCCTCCGATTGGGCCCCCGGCCCCTGCTTTCTCCAGGCATGCCGCGAGGGCGCTGGCCAGGGGGCCTCTCTTCAGAGGGTTTAGGGTTTAGGGTTTAGGGTTTGGGGTTTAGGGTTTGGGGTTTAGGGTTTAGGGGGGTTTAGGGTTTAGGGTTAAGGGTTCAGGGTTAAGGTTTTGGCAGCGATGTACGAGCGCGTCTCAAGGTTCTTGCGCGGCAGTGATGACAGGGGATTTCGCACACAACTACCCTAAACCCAAAACCTTAAACCCCAAACTTTGCCCTAAACCCCAAACCCTATAAACCTGTTGCAGGTTCCCTGACACGAGCTTCTGGGTGAGGTCCTCGCTGGCAGACCCTGATATCATCTTTCTAGGTATGACATGTAAGGGTTGAAAGGACATTTTTTGGTTTAGGGTTTAGGGTTTAGAGGGTTTGGGGGATTGGGGGTTTAGGGTTTAGGGTATCTGGCGGAGAGCTCGCAACACAAGGGGTAACTCCTAAGGCGGCTAAGCCAACCCCAGCTTAGGCTTATGGATTAACCCTAAAACCCTAAAACCCTAAAACCCTAAAACCCTAAAACCCTAAAACCCTAAAACCCTAAAACCCTAAAACCCTAAACCCTAAACCCTAAACCCTAAACCCTAAACCCAAAGCCTTCAGGTGTCACCTGAGAAGCTGGCATGTAAACGACCACCCCACGACGGCCAACGGCTCGCCCTCCTCGGCTTGGTGAGGACGCACGTTGGCTGCAAAGAGCCCCTGGCTCTGAGTAGAGAATGAGGCATATGACTATATTTACATATATATATATACACCTGTTAAGGGATTATGTAGGGTAGAATATATATATATATATGTATATAGACACACACACACACACCCTTTTCAGGGATTATGATGCCAACTTCCACATTCTTTCTTCCCTCCTTGCCACTACTTCCGTCTTGGCCCACAACTCCCCTAAACCCTAAGCCCCTGGACCCCACCCAAGAGGACCCCTTACAGCCCAAGGGTTTTGGGTTTAGGGTGTAGGGTCTGGGGTTTAAGGCTCGGGCAATCTGATCTCTGAAGATCTGCCGGTGCGCGTTGACCTGCAAAGGCACTTCAGGGTATTGGGCTTCCAAGGCCGATGGGAAAACATCGCAGCTCAGGGTTTAGGGCTTGTTTGGGGGTTTAGGGTTTAGGGTTTAGGGTTCAGGGTTCAGGGTTTAGGGTTTAGGGTTTAGGGTTTGCATCTGAGGTGCACGGTCGAACACATAATCCTGGATCGATGATGTAGGCTACCCTGGACTTTTCGGACCCCGTTCTCCTTGCTGCAAGAGATCATGCCGAGCTCGACAATAATGCGGTGTAGCGTTTCGGGTTTAGGGTGTGGGGCCTCTACCTTGAGTCGGACTTTACCCAAAGCAATCCCATCCACAAAATTGTTCTGTGCACTTTGCAGGAACCTGCTTCTCACAGGAACCTACTCAGTTTGGGTACCTTAAACCCTAAACCCTAAACCCTATATGGAGTGGGGGTGGGATCGACAGGCTCGTTAGCTTGGAGTCTTCCTGGAGCAAACCCAATGTCCGTTAACACTACACCCAAGAAAACCCCCAAGGCCCAGCACCTCAAACAGAGACTCCCTTACTTCTGCCAGGCCAAGCCCGAAACCCCACACCATACCCGAACCCTAAACCCTAAACCTACAACCCTGCACCCCAAACTTACAAACCCCTAAACCTACAAAGCATACATAGCCCAACCGCTAAACCAGAAACGAGTCTGCCACTTCAAAAAGGGAACTGAAGATCACTCGGGAAAACCCCAGGTGGGTGGTTGTCAAAATTATGGTCCCTTTTGTATTAAAATGCGGCACCTGATACTTAGGGCCGGGTTTAGGGTTTAGGGCTTAGGGTTTGGGGTTTAGGGTTTGGGGCGTAATCCGCCGACCCTGGCACTTTTTTGGATGGGTTTCTCAAACGCGGGGAGGGGGGAGGGGGGGGGGTAGGGGGGGTACCCCGCCAGCTTTTCCGTGGAGGAACAGGCCACCGCGTAAACTCATGGACCATACAGGGCATAGGGGCTCTTTTGGAAAAACCCCACCCCCCCTTCTTATTCGCCCTCCCCTACCCCCCCCCCCCCCCCTACCCCCCCCCCCCCCCTACCCCCCCCCTACCCCCCCCCCCCCCCCCCCCCCCCCCCCCCCCCCCTACCCCCCGCCCCCATCGCGAAGGACCCAGACCCGAACCGCAAACCCAATCCACCAAACCCCAAACCTTAAACTTGTTCTCCTGCGGGGTCGGCGGCTTGAGCCCCAGGCTCTTAAATTTTGAGAACCACCCAGTAGCTCTCTCTCTCTCTCTCGCTCTCTCTCTCTCTCTCTCTCTCTCTCTCTCTCCCTCCCTCTCCAGATTCCAAGCAACCCCATGGTTTGAACGACTGGCCTGCGATGGACCGACCGGTTTGGGTTGAGGGTTTAGGATTTGGGGTTTAGGGTTTAGGGTTTAGGGTTTAGGGTGTAGGGTCTAGGGTCTAGGGTCTAGGGTTTAGGGCTTAGGGTTTCGGGTTTAGGGTTTAGGGTTTAGGGTTTTAGGGCCCGGCCCGACGTGTGTAGAGGGTCACCAGCTCTGCGGAAGTCTTACATCGGTAGGCTTCCTGCAAAGCTTGCGGGTGTGGGTTGGGATGTTCCCCCCCCCCCCCTATACTAAGAGTCCTTAAGTCCTTATCAGGGATTATAGTAGGAGGTCCTATAATCCCTATTAAGGACTGTTACTATGAGGGGGAACATCCCAAGGCAAGGGGCATATAGTTTCCCTCTCATCGGTACATTCGGCTCTGCCCAAGATACCGTCGGGGGTGGGCTAGGCAGGGTTCTGCAGCAGCGGTTGAACATGTACTTCAGATGGCGCAGGGTCGAGGGTCCCCTCAGGAATTTAGTGTTCCTGGAACCTTGACACGCTAAACACATGTGCTTCAGGGGCTTACGGTTTCAGTCCTCATAATCAGAACCACTGCAAGCAAGCACGAAAGAGAACGCAAATGAGGGCTGCCCTTCTTTGAGGGTTTCTACTGCCAGGGCTATACTATTCTGGGGAAAGTGAGTAGCGGTCCAAACCTCGAGTATGTCCCGACTGTCGCGTGGAATCGGGTCGGCCCCCCCCCAATCGGTTAGGCAGGAGCTATCTATGGAAACTAGTTTTTGGCAGACTGGTCAATTCCATATGACTCCTCTAATCATGGCCACCTCTTCCAGAGGTTTTGTCCGATGCTCATTTAGGGTTTAGAGTTTAGGGTTTGGGGTTTAGGCCTGTAAACCGGGCGCAATCAGACATTCCCGCACCTCAAGACCTGGCCCCATCGATTCCCCCAAAGCCTCCCAACCAAGCTCGTTTAGGGTTTATAGGGTTTAGGGTTTAGGGTTTAGAGTTTCGGGTTTAGGGTAAACTATACTTCCAGGGACCGGACCGGCTAGGTTATCCTTTCTCTGGAAGTAGGTCAGGTCAACATCCCTTTCCAGCTACAACCTCGCCGCCTAGACCCCAAATATTAAACCTCAGGATCGTGTAGGAAAGGGTGGAGAGCTCGAGCCCGACGCAGGTCTCGTGCTGATTTTTTTGGGGCTTTGGGGGCTTTGGGGTTCAGGGTTCAGGGTTCAGGGTTCAGGGTTTAGGGCTGAAATCCCTGTTCTGCGGGAGTTGGGCATGGGCGCCTAGACCTTGACATCTACCCGTTGTATACCCTGCACAACCCAAGGGCCCATACTTCAGAACCCTTTGAAGGAGGTAAGGGACGATATCAAGGCTGCATGTAATGTAGCTCCCCTCAGAATTTAAAGGGCGCCATCGACGAGCCCTACTACCAATCAGAAAGTCCAGGTGTCCTCGTCGAAGAGCAGCGCGCAAACGCTGCAGGGAGCCAGGCAGGCCGTCAAATCTTGACGCCCCCGAGCCACCTCGAGCCGTTTAGGGTTTAGGGTTTAGGGTTTAGGGTTTAGGGTTTAGGGTTTAGGGTTTAGGGTTTAGGGTTTAGGGTTTAGGGTTTAGGGTTTAGGCTTCGGAGCTGGCCTGGGGCTCAATCTGCGCCTGGGGAGTTGAAGGTGGGGAACTGTGAAGACTTTAGATCCTCACAACCTAAAAGCCTAAACCCCAAAGCCTCAGACCCTCAACCCTACGGCCCTAAACCCTAAACCCTAAACCCTAAACCCTAAACCCTAAACCCTAAGCCCTAAACCCTAAACCCTAAACCTTTAACCGGAAACCCTAAACCACGCTTCATGTAGTCCCCCCAGACACCTATGGCTGGCAGCTCTGCGCCCCCCCCTGCCTCCTGAAGCCCAACCAGCTCTTCCGCTTCGGGTGGGTGCGCTTCCCTCGGCCAGGTCAGCAGAATTTCCCCTCAGAACCCCAGAGCCTACTTTGAATTATAAGGAGGTTGCGTGATTATGCCCAAAGCCCTATAATGGGATTCGTCGGCGGCCCTACAGAAAAAGGTAGGCTTCGGGCTCTTAAGGGGGGGCCCAAAAACTACAAAACCTCTTCGTCAGATCTGGGCCCCCTGCACCAGGAAGACCCGGGGCCCAGCTCCCTGCCGAAGGATTTGGACTCCGCGCACCTGAAACTCTCGGTGCCAGGTGGTTTAGGGTTTAGGGTTTAGAGTTTAGGGTTTAGGGTTTAGGGTTTAGGGTTTAGGGTTTAGGGGTTTCCTGAATTATAGGGGTACCTCATTGGCATCCCATTTTTTCAGGGGATCCTGCTATCTGGGATCTGTTCGGAGGCTCAGGGTACTTGTACCCCCAAGTATATAGCTGGACTTACAAGCCCCCACAGGCCTAAGTCCCCTAAGTAGGGTTTAGGGTTGAGGGTTTAGGGTTTAGGGGTAAAAGTAGACTTATCATTGAACCTCCAAGTAGGGAAATCGCGCGAATCTCAAAGGCCAGGATGCCAAAGTGCCGACTTCCCTACAGTAAGGTGCCTTATTCCCCAGCCTCTCATGTTCCAGACATGGGGACGCCCCCAAAAAAGGGAGACATCATGCAGCAAGATCAACCCCCTTTCAAGAGGAGGCTCAGCATGTAGAGGAGGGTCACCTCAAACTCTGTTCCTAAGCCCTAATGTTGGACCCTCTTTAGTCTGTAGGCCCCCCCCCCCCCGGAACAGTCGAGGCGTGGATGGGAGCCTGATTACACGGCCTCGGGGGCTTATATGATTTCAATAGGGAGGAGTTTAGATAGGTTTAAAAGGGGCAGCGATGCCCGGTTATCTTTTTTTAAAGGTGCGCCACGTGGAATTTTCTTACGGCGCCCGGACGAGTTGACTTTAAAGAGGACCCCGCAAACAGTCAGGGGGTCCTGAATAATTCGGCCAAATTGACTTTAAAGGGGAGGCCCCTACTAAAGAGGGTCCAACATTAACCCTAACCCTAAACCTTAAACCCTAAACCCTAAACCCAAAAACCCTAAACCCACTACTGCAGCTGTAGATGGCGTCGGGGTGAGAAGGATGGCTCGTGCATCCGGGCACAACTTGTACAGCGTTCTCGAAGACACGGAAAACTTGATGCTGCAGGGCTGCGATGTCGGTTGTGAGGCGGGGAACAGGCATTAGGGTTTCCTCTCTCTCGCTCTCTCTGCCATGTAGAGACCTTCTAATGGCCACAAAATCCCAAGACCTGAGCACCTTAGCTCCCCGACCCTCAAACCCTCAACCCTCCCCAAACCCTGAAGCACTTCCGCCAGGGGAAGTCCCCACGCGTCCCGACTCTGCTTGGGGCCCTGGCATACGGCGCAGAGGCCTGCTTTGCAGGGGCTGGTGCCTGCCCAGGCGTTGAGTTCAAGCAAAGTTCATGGCGGATAGGATTAGGGGGACCCTAGGGGATATAGACCCTCTGAATAAGGTCCCTGCTTAAGAGAGCCAGAAGAGGGTTAAGAAGGGATCCCCTTTAAGGGTCTCCCTTATACTAGGAGTTCGGGCTGTCGGGCTCCCAAAAAACTGCGAGAGAGTCGGTCTGAAGACCCCGTTTAGGGGGCTTAGGGGCTTATGGGCTTAGGGGTCTAGGGGTTTAGGGCTTTAGGGGTTTAGGGCTTTAGGGGTTTAGGGCTTTAGGGCTTTAGGGGTTTAGGGGTTTAGGGAGGGGTTTAGGGGTTTAGGGGTTTAGGGCTTTAGGGCTTCAGGGGTTTAGGGGTTTACGGGTTTAGGGTTTATAGGCCCTCTCAACCTTGGGCCCGGCCCAAAAGTGCAACATGCTGAGTGGCTGACCTTTGGCAAGAAGACTGCAACGGACAAGGTTTAGGGTTTAGGGTTTAGGGTTTAGGGTTTAGAGTTTAGGGTTTAGGATTTAGGGCTTAGGGCCTAGGCCCTAGGCCTGACTTGTGACGGATTTAGTCACCTAACCGCGGGTCCCTCGCGCTGTAGGGCCGAAGTCTAGTGGGTCTAGGGTTTAGGGTTTAGGGTTTAGGGTTAGGCTTTAGAGGTCCCTTCCCCAGATAAGCCACAGTTCGAAGGAATTACGCATGGTAGGTAGGGGTTTTAGGGGGTTCAGGGTCTGGGGGTTTTAAGGTTTTAGGGTTTAAGGTTTAGGGGCTTTAAGGGTTAAGGTTTTGGGTACCCTAAACCTACACCCTAAACCCTAAACTCTAAACTCTACACCCTAAACCCTAAACCCTAAACCCTAACCCCTAACCCTAAACCCTAACCCTAAACCCTAAACCCTAAACCCTTGGTTCGCCTGGCTGCTCTTCGCCGCCTTCGGCCGCCGCTTCGGCCGTTGGCTTGGCGCGGCCGCAGGCGGGGGCTGGGGGGCCTCCGGCGCCTGCAGAATCTTGTGTTTTTTTCGGGTTTAGGGGTTGAGGTTTAGGGTGTAGGGTTTAGGGTTTAGGGTTTAGGGTTTAGGGTTTAGGGTTTAGGGTTTAGGGTTTAGGGTTTAGGGTTTAGGGTTTAGGGTTTAGGGTTTAGGGTTTAGGGTCCCTACTAGTGTTTTAAGGATTTCGGATTTAGTGCTTTAGGCTTTAGGGGTTTAAGGTCTATGGTTTTGAGGGGATTGGGTTTAGGGTTTAGGGGTTCAGGAGTTTAGGGGATTTAGGGGGTTAGGGTGGAGGGCTGAACCCCTCGAGGACGCTAAACCCTAAACCCTAAACCCTCAACCCTCAACCCTCAACCCTCAACCCTAAACCCTAAACCCTAAACCCTGTGCCCTGTCCCCCCCCTGGCCTGCTCCAGCTGCATCTGGCAAATCAGACTCACGAGGTCATTGGCCTTCTCCATCGCCTGGCGGCGCAGCTGCAACCTCAACGTTAAGCCCGAAAGGGTTTTGGCCTAAACCCTAAACCCCAAACCCCAAACCCTAAGCCCTAAACCCAAAACCCAGAACCCTAAACCCTAAACCCTAAACCCTAAACCCTAAACTCCTAGGGTTCAGGGACAAGTCTGAGGGATTCGGGTTTAGGGACGCTCCGACAGCTCGAATCGAAGATGGAAGGGCGCACCATCCAATCGGAGATGATGATATTCACCCCAAACATCAGCTGGACGTTGTTCAGGACCAGCCTTGAGCAGAGTTGGAGATTGGACTGCGCCCTAAACCATTAAAAAGCAAAAAAAACCTAAGCCCTAAACCCTAAACCCTTTAGGGGGCTTAGGGTTTAGGGTTTGGGGTTTTGGGGGTTTGGGGTTTGGGGTTTGGGGTTTGGGGTTGGGGGTTTGGGGGTTGGGGGTTTGGGGTTTGGGGGTTTGGGGTTTGGGGGGGTTTAAGGGGTTGGGGGGGTTTAGGGGGTTTGGGGGGGTTTGGGGGTTGGGGGGTTGGGGGGTTGGGGTTTGGGGGTTTAGGGGTTTGGGGGGGTTAGGGGGTTTGGGGGGTTTGGGGGTTTGGGGTTTGGGGGTTTGGGGTTTGGGGGGGGGTTTGGGGGTTTGGGGGTTGGGGGTTTGGAGTTTGGGGGGGTTTTAGGGGGTTTGGGGGGGTTTAGGGGGTTTGGGGGGGTTTGGGGGGGTTTGGGGGTTTGGGGGTTTGGGGGTTTGGGGGGTTGGGGGTTTGGGATTTAGGGTTTACAAGAAGCACGAGGTGCAGGGTGGCGAGGTGCTGTCATGCAGAGCCGTCCTATGAACTGAACGGAACGTGAGGGCCGTTTCTGCACGGTCCCTCTGGGGTATCCTAAACTTCCTAAGCATTGAAACCTACAGGGTGGGGCCCCCTAGTTATAAGTAGAGTTATAAGGGCCCTAAATTGGGTTATAAGGACCCTAAGTTAGGTTATAAGTCCCTTAGCTACAGTTAGTATCCTAAACCCTAAACCCTAAACCCTAAACCCTAAACCCTAAACCCTAAACCCTAAACTTCCGAAGCATTTAAACAGAAGTGCACGCAAATCAGCCAACATGACCCACAAGGAACGTTCAGTGGAGGTTTGGGCGGTCGCTACTGACATGTCTATAAGCAGCTTAACAGCTTTCCGGACAGAGAGTTCGGTGGATCATCCCTTGCTTCGGGAATTCTGAGTTGCTGAGTTCAGAAGCCCCCCCAAAAAAGTGCAAAGTGTGCTCACTCAGCTACTAAGGGGTTCTGTTCTGCTGCATCCCAGCCGAAGCATACCAGAGTTGACTCCCAGAAATTGCGGCCCTGAACCCTGGGCCTGAAGCTAAGAGATTCCCAAAAAGCCGTTCAGGCTCGCAGTAGTCATTCATAAAGAGCTAAGAGCCATTTTATCCCTAAACCCCAAACCCTAAACCTTGAACCCAAACCCAAAACCCTAAACCCTGCTTAAAGGGTTTACGGCTTAGGGATTAGGAAACCCTAAACCCCAAGCCCTAAGCCCTAAACCCTAAACCCTAAAACCTGACTAAAAAAGGCTGTTAGGATCGACTCCTCGGCTTCCATGCAGGCCAGGAAACGTGGCGCTCAGTGAGTCGATGGTCTCTACCAGGGGGCTGTCAAGATGCCTGGGACTTAGGGTTTATAGGGTTTAATAGGTCTTAATAGGTCTTACTAGGGTTTAATAGGGTTTAATAGGGTTTAATCGGGTTTGATAGGTCTTAATAGGGTTTATACATACATACATGCATACATGCACACATGCACACATGCACACATGCATACATGCACACATGCACACATGCATACATGCATGCATACATACATACATACATACATACATACATACATACATACACACACACACATCTCTACCCACACATTATTATGATTATTACTACTACTACTACTACTATTATTATCATTATTATTATCATTATTATCATTATCATTATCATTATTATTATTATTATCATGATTATTATTATTCTGATTTCTTCTTATTAGTATAATAATAATAATTATTATTATTGTTATTATTATTATATATGTATGTATACATGTTACGTAAGAATGTACACACACACATAGGTCTGTAAGACTTCTCATTGCTGCAGCGACCCCAAAGATTTCTAAACGTTAAGCTCTGTAGACACGCAGGCTTGCAGTATACGCTCCACACCCGAAATAAAGCCTGAAACCAACCGCCTCATCTAGACCGAGGAGTAACCTATTAACAAAAAGGGCACCCTTTTTGGTTGTAAGGGGGTGATAATAGAACCTAGCCCCTAAAAAAAGGAATAAGGGCCTACTCCGGGTCCAAGTCATGCAGCCAAGCTGCATGGGATCTTGCTCATCGCCGGCAACCTTCGAGTTTGTCTGTTGATCTTTAATTCATGGGGTTTAGGGTTTAGGGTTTAGGGTTTAGGGTTTAGGGTTTAGGGTTTAGGGTTTAAGGTTTAGGGTTTAGGGTCTGGTTCCGGTTGAAAGGGTACATCGGATTATGTGGGTATTTCCCAAATTAGGTGCACCCCTGTTCTACCCCAGATAGAAGGAAAGGGACCAAAATGGTAGAAAGATTTGCGGAAACCCCCATGTAGGTACGCGAAGTGGAGCGAAAGCTGCTAACTCATAGCTGGTTCTGCAGCAATGGGTGCACAAGAATCAAGCTTGAGTCTCGGAAGGTGAGGCGGGAAACAGGAAACCCTAAACTAACCCTATACCCTATACCCTAAACTCTGAACCCTGAGCCCTAAACCCTAAACCCCGAATCTTCCGGAAAGCCGTGGGGAACCTGCCTCGCTCAGCACTGACAGGACCTGCACCATGGATTCTTAAGGCAGCTGTGCCCACGAGCGAAAGGTTGAAAAACAAAAAGCAGGAGGAGAGGCCGAAAAAGTGCCTCTTGCCAGCCCTAAACCTTAAACCCTAAACCCTAAACCCTAAACCCCAAACCCCAAACCCCAAACCCCAAACCCCAATCCCTAAACCCTTTGAGCCTTAATTAGACTTTAAGGAGCTGCCATGACGGCACCCGGAAGGAATAACTGAAGGCTTGCTCTGCTGACAGTGCGCCCTCCGCCTATCCAAACCTCTCAAGGGTTTAGGGTTTAGGGTTTAGGGTTTAGGGTTTAGGGTTTAGGGTTTAGGGCCCAGGGTTTAGCAAGTACCACGCGCAATATACGGGCCTAGTTCATTTGTGTGGATTAGGGCTTGGAGTTTAGAATGAGGGTTTGGGGGGATTTTGTAGCACTGACCGCTATCACCAGACAGGGACCCTGAGAGATCTTGAAGGCAACGATTTAGGCTCCAGCATCACGCGCCTACTTCTCCACCTTCACAAGTTCAGTGTGTGATTAAGTCGGCTGGTTGTCCATACACCTAAACCCCCGAAACCCCAAACCCTACCCTTAAACTGAGTCTACTCGCCGGTCCCCGACCACAAGCTAACCTCAGCTTTTGTCCCGCCCGTGCCTTGAAGGAGCCTTGTGGCGAATGAACCCCCAAACTACCCAAACTTCCTAGAGATTTGAAGCCCAATTAAGGACCTCAACAGCCTAGACCCTAAACCCTAAACCCTAAACCCTAAACGCTAAAACCCTAAACCCTAAACCCTAAACCCTAAACCCTAAACCCTAAACCCTAAACCCTAAACCCTAAACCCTAAACCCTAAACCCTAAACCCTAAACCCTAAACCCCCACTCCCTGCCTTCTGGCTCACGTCCTCTCGGCTGGGAAGTGCAAGAGCCGCTGGGGCCGCTGGCACCAGAGCCTGCGGCTCCTGGCTTGGGGTTTAGGGTTTAGGGTTTAGGGTTTAGGGTTTAGGGTTTAGGGTTTAGGGTTTAGGGTTTAGGGTTTAGGGTTTAGGGTTTAGGGTTTGGGGTTTAGTGTTCACGGTTTACGGTTTACGGTTTAGGGTTTAGGGTCTAGGGTCTAGGGTCTAGGGTTTAGAGTTTAGGGCGTGGCAAACGGCCTGACTCCCTTATTCGCTACGAAGAAGCGGAATGCAAGCCGGTTCACATGACCTGGCCTGCAAACAGACTCTGGGTTTAAGGTTTAGGGTTTAGGGTTTAGGTCCAGAAAGCTCCTCGTATCGGCCAGCGCCGGCCGAGGATGCTAGCTTTAGGAAAGCGATCCATCTAGCTTTAGGTCGCTTGCCTCGTAGCTGCTGATGGGGGCTTCTCTCCATTAACTATGGGGCCCTTTTGGGGGGTACCCACAGTAAAAGGCCCCCTGTTTGAAAAAAATGGAAAAAGTAACCCCGAAACTGACCCTACTTTTGGGAATCTCCGAGTGATAATGGACCATGGTCATGAGGTTGACTCACTGCTCTTGGGCTTTTCTGCTCCACTGGTCATGTTACAATAAGGGTGCCCCTTGTTTTTGGGAACCGTGAACGAAAATCAGGGCGAAAGGGTACCCTTGGGCTACGACGTCCAAGTTGGCGGAGGCCTCCTCCTCCTCCTCCTCAGCCGGTCTGGATTTTCTCCTTCGGCCTAAGCCGCGCAACGCTCTCATTAAGCGCTCAAACCCCCGCACTGTGAGCCAGGCAGGCATGGAAGGTGAAGTTGGGAACCATCGCAGGTGCTTTAAACCCTAAATCCTACAAACCCTAAACCGCCTAAACCCGAATGCCTTTCCAGGGCACCCTATCCTCCCCGTAGCCTGTGTCGCTCAGGGCTCGACTAACTTGAGATGCCCCTTGTAACATGGGATATCGCCGATATCGCGCTTGAACCTACCCTTTATGAGCCCTAAACCCTAAACCCTGGACCCTCTCAACCTTAAGCCCCTGAACCCACCCAAGAAAACACATCACCCAATGAGGGAGCCTGTGATAGCCCTGGGCCCTGTGCACATCCTACGCATCTCGTAAAGCACCCCATGAAGCCTAATCCCTAAACTTTCCACTAAACGCTAAAAGCCCTAAACCCTAACAACTTTGCCCTAAACCCAGATCCTAAACCCTATAAGCCCTGAACCCTCGAATTTTGCCATAAATCCTAAAAACCCTAAAAACCCAAAAAAACCCTAACCCTAAACCCTAAACCCTAAATCCTAAACCCTAAACCCGAAACCCTAAACCCTAAACCCTAAACCCTAACCCCAAACCCAAACCCTCAAGGTCGTAGTCTCCGGCGTCGGCGCTTCGTCGGAGGAGGTGGAGCCTCCGCTGGCAGCTCCTCCGAAGTAGAATCTGGTAAGCCCCAAAACCCTAAACCCTAAACCCCAAACCCTAAACCCTAAACCCAAACCCCAAACCCTAATACCCTAAACCCTAAACCCTAGACCCTGCAATATCGAGCCCAACAGGGTTTAGGGTTTCGGGTTTAGGGGTTTGGGGTTTAGGGTTTAGGGTTTGGGGTTTAGGGTTTGGGGTTTAGGGGACTAGGGTTTAGGGGGCTAGGAGGGGATGTCCTGATGCAGTCTAGATGTCGACGTGGAGACTACGATTCCACCAACTCATGGGTTTCCCTGCTACCCCCCTCAAAACTACACCACCCTGGGTCCCCAACTTACATGACCTTAATTAGGCTTAATTATCCCTAAATAGCCTTAACTATGGGGGGAACCTATATAGAGGGGGGGGGGGGGCCTAGTAGGGGGAATCCATGACCTACGCACTACTGCAGCCACCTCCATAACGCGCGCGATGAGCTCTGACGCTCGCTCCATCTCCTGCATGTCGCTTTGCACCGAGTGTGGGTTTAGGGTTTAGGGTCTAGGGTTTGGGGCAAAAATGGCTCGCCCGTCCATCCACTCGCTGACAAGGATGTTCACCCCCATCTGCATCTGGATGTTGTTAAGCACCTTCGCAAGTCAACCCGAAAAACCAATCCTATGAAACCTAAAGCCTACACCCTAAACCCTAAACCCTAAACCCTACAGTGTGACAAAAACAATCTTGAGGGAAGGGGGATCCGCAGAGTTCTACTCGTAGTGATAAAGCAGGGGATATCTTGGGGAGGTGGCATTACCTTGCCTTCGAGGGAACTCGGAACCTCAGTTCCACGGGCCGGCTCAAAATGCAGCCCTAAGCCCTAAGCTCTAAACCCTAAACCCTAAACCCTAACCCTAAACCCTAAACCCTAAACCCTAAACCCTAAACTCTAAACCCTAAACCCTAAACCCTAAACCCTTCGGGGTTTGGGGTGGTGATCGCTGGATCCTGCTCTGCCCCTGAGGCTCCTGCCAAGGTGGCCCCCAGGGAGTCGATCCCTTCCTGGTGGCAAGGCTTCGGGGCTTTCGTGGGTTGAACCCTAAACCCTAAACCCTAAACCCTAAACCCTAAACCCTAAACTCTAAACCCTAAACCTTAACCCTATACCCTAAACCCTAAAACCCTGCACCCTAAACCCTAAACCCTAAACCTTAACCCTATACTCTAAACCCTAAACCTTAAACCCTAAACCCTAAACCCTCAAAGGGCCTTAGGGTCGCCCCCATTCCACTGAGACCGTGACACGGAGCTCGCTCTCCAAGCTCACGGAGTCATCGGCCACCTTGCTAGGGTTTAGGGTTTAGGGTTTAGGGTTTAGGGTTTAGGGTTTAGGGTTTAGGGTTTAGGGTTTAGGGTTTAGGGTTTAGGGTTTAGGGTTTAGGGTTTAGGGTTATTTCGGGTTTAGGGTTGTGGGGTTTGTAGGCAAGTCGGGGCTTTCAGAGGGTTTAGGGCTCAGGGTTTGCTGTTTTCGAAGGCGCAGAAGCTTTCTTGGATGGCTTGACAGAGTCCAGGATGGGCTATTAGGCCCTATCATCCCCATAATCCACCCTATAAAGGGCCTTTTTAAGGGGTTATAGGATATAATAATCAACCCGATGAAGGGGTTATAGGGTCTAATAAGCCCTATAATCCCCATAAGCAACCCTATAAAGAGCCTTTTTAAGGGGTTATAGGGTATAATAGCCCGTCCTGGGTAGCCCCGGAAAACTTCGTACAACGTTAAAGGCAGCTATGGCCCGATTGCGGAGGGCCGTCGCGAAGTCTAAGACTTTTTCTCCCACCCCACGCCGTCTAAGGCGGCAAAAGCCACCCTAACCTCTTCACGAACCTCAGTGAGTAGATACTCTGGCCCAAGTAAGTAAAAAGAGGCTTTAGGGTTTGAGGGTTTGGGGCTTAAGGTGAATAGGGTTCTAGGGGTAGCTAGGGTTTAGGGCTGAGGGAGCCGAATTATCTAACTAATGAAGTTTACCACTGAGTTCTAGGTGTTGGCATTAAGTTCCACTTGGGTGTGCGTCCGTAAACACTAAAGGCTAAACCCTCTACCCTAACCCTAAACCCTAAACCGTAAACCGTAAACCCTAAACCCTGCGTCAGGCCTCGGAGAGGATTCCCAAGATCTTCTGGGGCACTTCCTGCACAGGATGTTGGAGTTTTTGGGTTTAGGGTTTAGGGTTTAGGGCTAGGGTGTGAGGTGTGAACGCCCAGCCTCATGCTGCCTAGATTCCCAGCTCCTGGCATGTGCCCATGAAAAGGTTGCTGCTGTAAGAGTACTGTTGGTCCGCGCCAGAGTGCCTCACTACGTAGTGCACACAGGCCATGCAATCATCAGCGCTTGAGTCTTCCTTGGAGGCTCATGGGCACTTATAACCCCAATGACGGCTGTACTGATAAGCCCTGCAAGTCCCCCCAGTAGGCTAATTAGTTATAATGTAGACTTCTAATTTGGGATCTCAGCACCCATGAGCCTCCAAGTATAGGACCCTAAATACCAAGCCCTACAAACCCTAAACCCTAAAACCCAAAGCCTAAAACCCAAAACAACAAACCGCCAAAACTAAACTCCAAAACACAGCCACACTGTGGGCCTCCTTGAGAGTGGAAGGAAGCGCCAGCGGGGCCTCCTCCTGAGGACCAAGAGGCACGATGATGTTTTTGGGTTTTAGGGTTTAGGGTTTAGGGGTAGGGTTTTAGGGTTGAGGGTTTAGGGTTTAGGGTTTAGGGAAGTTTGGGGTTTAGGGTTTAGGGTTTAGGGTTTACAAGGCCAGGATCCGGGTCTCGGTCCAGGGGCCCCGTGCCTCCGACTCCCACTCCTCCCACTCGTCGCTGTCCTGACATCTCCAGTTCGCTGTAATGAGCTGCTTCTAACTACGGGACCCGGATTTAGCTTAAACTCTAAAACCCTAAACCCTAAACCGTAAACCCTATAGATGCTACTGGAGTCAGGCTATTTTCAAGCCATCTGGGCGAGATCATCGAGGCTTGGGACGACTTGTTGCAGTCATCTCTTGGGAACAGCGCAGCTTTTGGGCGGTTTACGAACAGAGGGACCCAATCTAGACCCCCAAATGGTAGGATTCCATTATAACAAGGACCCCAATAAACTACGTACTCCTAATTTCGGAAACCACCATATGGGGCAGGGGCAGGCTGGTTTGAGCGTGGAGGGGTGTTGAGGTTTTAGGGTTTAGGGTTTAGGGTTCAGGGTTCAGGGTTTAGGGTTTAGGGTTTAGGGTTTAGGGTTTAGGGTTTAGGGTTTAGGGTTTAGGGTTAGAACCCTGAAGGACCCAATCAGTCAGTCCCTGAAGTACTTAGGCAATTCAGCACCATGGTGCCCCCCCCCCCCCCCCCCCTATATCACCTGAGGGAAGCTTTAGCAGTATACGAGGACCCTAAGTAATTCCCCGAAGTCCCTAACTGTACCCTCAACCCTGAACCCTAATCCCTAAACCCGATAGTGTGGGTGGGCCTACAACTCTCGACGCCTCCCCCCTCATCCCGGGCTGCGGGCCTCTTCATCTTCAGGCTCGGGATACCTGCGCTCAAGGCTTAGGTTTACGGCAGTTTAGAGTTTATTATAGGGTTTAGGGTTTAAGGTTTATAGGGTTTAGGGCAATTTAGGGTTTATGGGGTTTATAGGGTTTATAGGGTTTACAGGGTTTGTAGGGTTTTGTAGGGTTTATAGGCTTTATAGGGTTTATAGGGATTATAGAGTTTAGGGCAGTTTCGGATTTATGGGGTTTGTAGGGTTGAAAGGGCTTATAGGGTTTGTAGGGTTTGTAGGGTTTATAGGGTTTACATGGGTTTACAGGGTTTATAGGGTTTATAGGGTTTATAGGGTTTATAGGGTTTGTAGGGGTTAGGGTGAGGGCCCACTACTTGAAGAAGGGGATGCCATCCCCTAACTCTAAACCCTAAACCCTAAACCCTAAACCCTAAACCCTAAACCCTAAACCCGGAACCCTAAACCCTAAACCCTAAACCCTAAACCCTAAACCCTAAACCCTAAACCCTAAACCCTAAACCCTAAACCCTAAACCCTAAACCCTAAACCCTAAACCCAAACCCAAACCCTAAACCCTAAACCCTAAACCCTAAACCCTAAACCCCGGGCTCCAGCCACCAAACCCCAGGCAAGACCCCAACCCTACCAAGCGCAGCCCTTCGCCTGCAAAACGCAAGAACTTTCCCGTTAACCTTCTTAACCCGCAGAACGGTTCCTGTGTTCCTAACCCTAAACCCTAAACCCTAAACCCTAAACCCTAAACCCTAAACCCTAAACCCTAAACCCTAAACCCTAAACCCTAAACCCTAAACCCTAAACCCGCCAGCCCTGTGAATACTCGACTGGGAGATGACGGGCCTGTATGGAGAGGCCTGCAGCACCAGCTGCGCGCTGGTTGTGGGCCAGTCCTGTCACAAGAAGCCACCACAAGGGTTTAGGGTTTAGGGTTTAGGGTTTAGCGTTTAGGGTTTAGGGTGAACCCTGAAGGTCTCAGTGTGCAATGGGCTGAATTACCCAGATTCTTGAAAAGACCGTCTTGAAAGGAGTTTTACCCTATCACACATGAGAATTTGTACTAACGTTGCACCCGGTTTACTACGCTAAGCCGCCAGTATGCGTTCTTCCGGAAAGAATATAGAGGGTTCCCCTCTTGACAAGGGTTACCCGCAATCATTGTTGCGAAGTTGCCTGCCCGGGATGCCCGACTAGGGAAAGGAAAGGCTCTGTCATGCCAGGTTGGCCTTTAAACCCTTTGAAAAATATTCAATTATAGGGTCCCTAATAAACCCAAATAAGGAAAACAAAAAGATGTCCCAAAAAACAACCTAGCATGTCAAAAAAACGAAGCTGAAGGCTTGTTTCTTTCGTCTCCGCTGAGGCAGAAGTCGTTAGGTCTGGGCCCTCTGCGGCACCTACAGAACCTGCCTTCACCAGACCCAAACCCATAGGGTGGTTTAGGGTTTAGGGTTTAGGGTTTAGTGTTTAGGGTTTAGGGTTAGGGTTTGGGGTTTAGGGTTTAGGGTTAGGGTTAGGGTTCAGGGTTTAGGGTTAAACTTGTTTGGGGGGGGGAGCGGGGGGGGGGGGGCCTGGATACTAAAGCGAGTACAACAGTAATACTCGCGTTGAGCTTTTTTAAGAAAAACCAGGATGGGGTATTCGGCCCTATAATCCCCATAGACAACCCTATACACGGCCTTTTTAAGGAGGTTATACGCTATAATAGCCCATCCTCGAACCTCCCTTAGCTCCGCTATTCTGGACGGTCGGGGAAGAAACCCTAAACCCTAAACCCTAAACCTAAACCCTAAACCCTAAACCCTAAACCCTAAACCCCAGGGGCTTCGGGACCTTCCAGCGAACGAGCTCCACGCCCTCGAAGGATGCCACCATCCTACCGCCCGGGAGTAGGCAGTCGCCTCTCCAGTGGGGTTTGGGGTTTAGGGTTTAGGGTTTAGGGCTAGGGTTTAGGGCTAGGGTTCAGGGTGTAGGGTTTAGGGCTTAGGGTTGAGGGCTAGGGGGGTTTAGGGTTGAGGGTTTAGGGTTTGGGGATTAGGGTTGAGGGCTTGGGGACGTTTTAGGGTTTAGGGCTTAAGGGTGGAGGGCTTAGGGATGTTTTAGGGCTTGGGGGTGTTTAAGGTTTAGGGCTTAGGGGTGTTTAGGGTTTAGGGTCTAAGGTTTAGGAATTGAGAAAGGATGGGCTTAGGGTTTCCGGCTTAAGGGTGCTTGGGATTTAGGGCTAGCCTTCTTGGGCAAGCGCAAAAGCTCGAAGCCTACAAAAAAGGACCTGAAGCCCTATGAACCCAAGAAGACCTACATGCCCTAGAAACCCACCCCTAACTCCCTGACTCCCCCTAAACCCTAAACCCGAGACCCTAAACCCTAAACCCTAAACCCTAAACCCTAAACCCTAAACCCTAAACCCTAAACCGCCAGGACCCCCCGCCATAGTCCAGAGGGCAACCTAAGGCCACCGCCATGGCTCGCGCTTTTTCAGGGCTGCCGGTACCAGGATGGGCTATTAGGTCCTAAAACCCTAAACCCTAAACCCTAAACCCTAAACCCTAAACCCTAAACCCTAAACCCTAAACCCTACAAAGGGCCTTCTTAAGGGCTTCTGGGGTATAAGAGATGGGCTATTGGGCCCTAGAATCCCAAAATAGTGAAGCCTATACAGGGCTTGACAAAGGGGTGAAAGAAAGGGTACAATGGCCCATCCGGGTATGTGTGACGTGTGTATGTGCGTATGTGTGTCTGTGTGCGTGTGTCTTTCCGATCGCTTTTGCTTGGGGGAGGGGTTGGGCTTCAGGGTTGAACCCTGTAGACCGAAATTTCCATACCTCCCTGGGGCTTAGGGTGAAGCCTGTACTTTCACAGCCTTCGTGCTGGAGTTGGCAGTCTGGGTTGAAACATACTGAAGGTGTGCTGCTGCGGGAGTTCCTTACAAAACAAGCCCAAAACTAGGGACCCTCGTGTAGAACGACATGTGGCAGCCTTCTTGTGGTCTGGCGTTGCGGTTTCGTGATTGCTGCGACGCTGTGCCAAGTGCGGAAAAAGCAGGTCCATGGGGCAGAGCTGAGGGCACTAGGCAGGGTTTGAGGGATTTTCCCAGAAGACTCCAAAACCCCTTCATTAAGGAATATACCTCTCGAACCATACTAGGTTTCCTATTACAACTTAAGGGATATTCCTGAATTAACGGGTTTTGGAGTCTCAGGGTTGTGGTTCAGGGACTAGGTTGTGGGGAGGAGGCCTGCATCTCTCTGCATGCACCCGAGACTTCAGTTCGGCACTACCCTAAAACCGAAAAACCCTAATACCCTAAAAACCCTAAAACCCTAAAACCCTAAAAACCCTAAAACCCTCAAACCCTCAAACCCTCAAATCCTCAAACCCTAAAACCCCAAAATCCGAAAACCCTAAAACCCTAAAGCATCGCAAACTCCCTCCCGTGCACGGTCCAAAAGCTGGTAGAACTACGCAGCCTGAACCCGCGCCCTCCATCGTCACACAAACATACCCATAAGAAGGGAATCTGGAGTTTAGGGTTTAGGGTTTAGAGTTTAGGGTTTAGGTTTAGGGTTTAGGGTTTAGGGTTTAGGGTTTAGGGTTTAGGGTTTAGGGTACCTGATAATTCAGGTATACTTTCCCTTTTTTTAAAGGGTAGATACGCTGCTGCATGAGAGGAAATCACGAGGAATCAATAGTAGCAATGCTATGACCAGGGTACTTTGTTTCTCTGGTGCACAGAGCCACAGAGGAACCCTAAAGCCAACGAGCTTTAGGGTTTAGGGTTTAGGGTTTAGGGTTTAGGGTTTAGAGTTTAGGATAGGGCTTAGGGTCTACAGTGTTTAGAGGATTAGAGTTCCTTGGCAGCCCAGTACTTTATATTACAGTAAGGGCACCCTTTTTGGGGGTTTTGTTTCTTCATAAAAGGGAACCTTGAGACAACGAAAGGGAACGGGGCACCTCTGGGCTACCAAGGGTTCAGGGTCTACCCTAAACCCTAAACCCTAAACCCTAAACCCTAAACCCTGAACCCTAAACCCTAAACCCTTCTAGGGTTGTGAACTGCCTCGCTGCGGACAGCTGTGCGTGGAACGTGGCCCGCGCCAGCTCGTGGGTCTGCGCAAAGCTGAAGCGCCGGACAATGAGAGTTAGGACTATTTGGGGGCTTAGGGTTTAGGGTTTAGGGTTTGGGGTTTAGGGTTTAGGGTTTAGTGTTTAGGGTGTTGGTCTTAGATTGAACTGTGTGCGCTACAGTCCTGTCTCTGTCACGACTTCTCGGCAAATCTTGGAGGGGCGCAAAGCGCCGGAGATTGGGGGAACAGCAGTTAAAGGGGTCATCGCTTGACCCCAAATCTCTGGATCTTGTTCAGGAACTTAAGACAAGTTGCCATGAGAAGTGCTCCATACTATTTACTTTATAGCTTCATCACGGTACTAGGATGGACTTAACACCCTCTGAAAAATCCTGAATATGATCCTCTAAAAAACCCAAGAAGGGAAATTATAAAATGTCCCAAGGGCCTACCTGAACAACTTAAGCTCTGTCACAACTTTCTGCACTTAGGAGGGTAGCTATACATTAAATTTTGAGCTGCCTTACTAGGAAACCCAAAAAACCCAAAGAGGCTAAGGATCTAAAGTTACAGTAAAGCATCACAGAGACAAGAACCCGGTCATCCCTGAACATGTGGGAAATTTCCGGTGCGCATGGCTGAAGTTTGAGGGTTTTGGGCAGCCCTTATGTAGATGTCGAGAGTTGTACCTGGGCACAAGCGAGCGCAGAGGAGTTGGGCTGCGGCAAATGGGTTTAGGGTTTAGGGTTTAGGGTTTAGGGTTTAGGGTTTAGGGTTTAGCGAAGCTGTTTTCTGGCTATGTTCCGGAAACAAATTCTGCTTCGACCACCGCTCTTCGGCAGACAAGCATTTCGTTTGTACATGGTGCAGCACAGCAGCCGTCTGGAACTGGACAGTCACAGTTCTTCTTGCACTGCTGACTTGACTATGAAAACAATCCTGGTGTGTCACCCAGAACTCTGCTATCTACCTCGAGACACCCGTTAGTTGACGTATGCCTCCCTTGTTAAAGGCATAAATCTCTCCACTGACACTTAAGGTCCCTAAACCCTAAACCCCAAACCCCAAACCCCAAACCCCAAACCCCAAACCCTAAACCCTAAACCCTAGCTGCGGCGTTCCTGCTTTACTTCTTGAGGTTTCTGGTGCTCTGTCTGGTCGAAGGTCTCGACGACTTGCCGGAGGATCTCCCACCTCATGGAGCCAAGAGGATTAGGGTTTAGGGTTTAGGGTTTGGGGTTTGGGGTTTGGGGTTTAGGGTTTAGGGTCTAGGGTCTAGGGTTGAGGGTTTAGGGTTTAAAGCTCCAAACCCTAAACCCACGAAAGCTTGACAATGTAGCCCAAAAACCTAGTGGAAAGAATTATCCGCTTAGGGTCTAATGGAGCTTATAAGCCTTAAAGAATCAAAGCACTCTTGGGCATCTGAGAGTAACGAGTAAGCACCTTAAGCCTTAAACCCCAAAGCCTCACCCCAAAGCCCTGCACCCAGCCGTACAAAGGGAAACATCCTGCATTTGAGCTTGCTGCTTCGTTTGGAGGCTTTTGACGTCGGCCTGGCATGCATCTGCGGCGGAGAGGGGGGCGTGTTGCGTAAGAAGTTAAGAATCGATCACAAGGCCGCCATTAGATTGTATATCCGCGAGCGGAACATGCATGGAGATTTCCACGGAGTCCAGACAACCTAGCCTCAGAATTCTACTCCTTGTCCGGGGGCGCCGTTGGCCCCTAAAGCCCTCTGAAAAATACTCCTGAATATGATCCTCTTAAACCCAAATAAGGGAAAATGTAAAAATGTCCCAAAGGCCTAAACTTTTTGGCGGGCCGATGCTTCCTAGTAACCGAAGACAGGCAAGGGAACCCGCGATTGCTTGATTGAAACTTTGATGAAGGGAACCAAACAGGGGAAGAAGGACGCCACGGGGCGCGGTTTGGTGCATCTTGCAGGTTCAGGGTTGAGGGTTTTGGGGTGAAGGGTTTAGGAGCCTAAACCCTAAACCCCTGAACCCTAAACCCTAAACCCTGAACCCTAAACGCTAAACCCTAAAACCCTAAATCCTAAACCCTAAACCCTAAACGACAGCGACCGACGAGCCCACTTCTTCAGCGAAGGCCCGGGGTGACTTCTCATTGCCGGCATCATGCTGAGAGCTCTAAGGACGACCCGGCTGTAGATGGCACACTGGCACGCTAATTTGACCTAAACCCGAAACCCTAAACCCTAAACCCTAAACCCTAAACCCTAAACCCTGTACTACCTAATTTAAAGCCCCTGGTCATGGAACTTGGGTGGGAACACGCACTGTCAGCTGCCTTTATTTCACGGTTTTGAGGCAACGCGAGCGCAGCTTTGTGCGCAGGGGAAAATGCCCAAGGCTCGGGTTACTCTAAACCCTAACCCTAAACCCTAAACCCTAAACCCTAAACCCTAAACCCCTGCAAGTTTCTCTAGGTAGGCGTTTCAGGTCATGGCGGCCCAAGGAGCTCCCAAAGGAACTCCTGCTCAGGGCCTCGGTTCGGCATGTGATTCGAGCGCTGCTGAGGGTTTAGGGTTTAGGGTTTAGGGTTTAGGGTTTAGGGTTTAGGGTTTAGGGTTTAGGGTTTAGGGTTTGGGGTTTGGGGTTTGGGGTTTGGGGTTTGGGGTTTGGGGTTTAGGGTTTAGGGTTTGGGGTTTAGGGTTTAGGGTTTAGGGTTTAGGGGTTGGGGTTAGGGGTTGGGGATTAGAGCGCAGGGTTTAGGGTTTAGGGTTTAGGGTTTAGGATTTAGGGTTTAGGGCACGTGTATTTGGGGTTCCACATCCTCCCAGAGGTACGGGGTGTTCCTTGTGCTGAAAGGGCTCCGGTTTAAGATTTAAGCACTATAGGTTCCACAGTTCTTCGGGGTCAAGACGGTCACGTGTTTGTTTAGGGTTTACGGTTCGGGTTTAAGGCTTACGGTTGGATGAATTCCGGTAACCCACGACGTCAAAAACGTCGAAAAAAGCACAAAAGGCACGACCCTGAGGATATCGCTCCTGTTTGGGTTTTTTCGGGTTTCGGGCTTCGGATTTCCCCACCAACTTATGACTATGAACTACAAGTAAGAGTCCAGGTTGGTGCTTATAGGGTTTAGGGCTAAGGGTAGAGGGTTTAGGGTACAGGGTGTACGGCTTAGCATGACCGAGTTCGTGGCTCAGAACATCCTCTGGCTGCTCCTCGAAGGATATCTCCCGCCCTTCGGGCAATATCCTCGGATGGGTCGCTGTAAGGCTTTCTATGAGAACCGCCATCGGAAGAAACATCTGAGAGACCCTTAGCCTCTAAGCCCCTAAACCCTAAACCCTAAACCCTAAAACCCCTAGACTCCTAAACCCTAAACCCTGGCTTTAATCACCCAACACCCTCAGAGAACAGCCCCAAATCCCCAACCACTCAGCCCACGGACCCCCACCCCCCCACCACCCCCCCCCCGCCCAAGCCCCCCAAACCCTACCCTACAGTAACCTAAAAGTCTTTGTATGTATATGTATATATGTGTGTATCTATGTATGTATGGATATATATATATATGTATATATGTACATATACACATATCCTAAACAGGCAGAAGGAACGAACATCGACATAACAAAGGAGTCCGCCCAAATGCTTTAGGCACACTTCCCTGGTTTTTGTTGGGGTAGGGGCTGAATACCCTAGCCCAAAAAAAGTTTAACCTTTTAAACCCAAAACCCAAAACCCTAAACCCGAATGGTAGGATTCTATATAACCCAAGAAAGCTAAAGGTTACCTACTCAGTCCCTAAGTTGGGGTATCTGCAGACCTGCAGCAGACCTGCAGCTAGGAAGCCATCGTGCGCCCTTCGCCAGGGTCCATTCGAACTTAAGGGTCCTCCAGTGGGCTGGATTTAAGGGGTTAGGGTTTAGGGTTTAGGGTTTAGGGTTTAGGGTTTAGGGTTTAGGGTTTAGGGCTACCCTCAATTCTACAGCACAGCCCTCCGTACTTGGCCTTCGGGGTGGGCAGATAGTTCTGGGAGCGGCCCGGAGCTTGTAAGGCTTATAGGGTTTGTAGGATTTTATTGGGTTTATGTAGGGTGTTTATAGGGCTTCTATAGTTTTGATAAGGAATTTATAGGGTTTGCAGGCTTTGTAGGGCTTGGGGTTTGAGTAGGGTCTGTAGGGTTTTCGTTCCACAAGCCCAAGAACACCGGAAAGACTGATTCATCATCATGTCTGTTGCCCTGAATCCTATATTGATGTCCATCCTAAGCCCCCAAATAGCCAAACGAACCCCAAGAACAAACCCTACAGCCCGAAACCCTCAACCCTAAACCCTAAACCCTCAACCCTAAAACCCTAAACCCTGAACCCTCAACCCTTAAACCCTAAACCCGAAACCCTCAACCCTAAAACCCTAAAACCCCTAACACCCTGAAACCCTAAAAATGGCCTTCCCTCCGCCCAAGGCAGCTCTATCCGCAGCTCGGGCCCATCCGGGGCTGCGGGAACTACCTGCCGTCTGGGGAGGTGTCAGGGCTTCAGGGTTTAGGGTTTAGGATGGTTTAGGGTTTAGGGTTTAGGGTTTAGGGTTGAGGATGGTTTAGGCTTTAGGCTGGTGTAGGTTTAGGGTGTAGGGTTCAGGGTTTAGGTTTTCGGGTTATACAGGGTTTTGGGCTTAGTGAGTTGCAATGGTGATCCCTGGCCCAGAACCCTTGAGCTTTGGCGTTAGGGTGCAGAAGCTTGGGTTTAGCGTTTCGGGTTTAGCGTTTAAGGTTCAGGGATTTCAGGGTTTCGGACCTGGGTTTGGGTGTTTGGGGTTTAAGGCTCTGAGGGTTTGGGTGCATGCATCGCAGTCCCCGAAGTCTTGGTACCCCATTAACCATCTGAGAATAAGGGTACTACTTGTTGGTTGGTTACTTTAGAAGGGAACCCAGAACCAAACAGAAGCGGGTAAAGGGTACCACTGGGCTATCACCCAGAAGTAGAGCCCCATAAGGGCCGAACATTCGCGTTTTTGGCAGCCTCATGGTCAACCTGACAACATGGCATCTTCTAAGGAACTTTACGTAGACCCCGTGCTGGTTGGACTTGACTGATCCGAACCTTGAGCCAAAATTCCTAGACCCCAATCCCTAAACCTTAAACCCTAAACCTCTTGCCAAGGCCTCCACCAAGCAGTGCAGTTGGTCCCCGCGCTCAAGGCGTTGGGTCTCAGGTAATGCCAGGAGAAGCGGGGACCAGGAGATGTCGACGTCGCGCAAGGCCGACCTTGAATGGCTGGGACATACGCACATACGTACATACATACGTACGTACATACATACAGACATACATACATCCATACATACATACATACATGAAATATATGGTGACATATGTATATGTATCTATATATATATATACACATATATATCTGTCTGTATATGTATGTGTATTATGTGTGAAGGTCAAAGTACAAGGCCGAAGCCCGGAATTGGATTCAGATAGGCCCGCAACAGAAGGTAGTATGGAAGACACATCACATGACATGGGGACCATACTCCAACAGCAAAGTCCATCACTGGCGCTGTCTGCCATGAAGATGGCTCAGGGAGTGTAGCATTTAGGGCATAACGGTGCTGATGGTCTCAGAGACTTTGCTCGCTCTTTCAGCAGCTTCTTGTCGCACTGTGTCACCCTACTTGCGTATGTGGTGTATTGCATTGTGCCTCAACTTTGTGGGTTGTTCGAAGTCGCAAGACATGCCAAGTGCTGCTGCTATCCTGCCTAGTGCTGCGTGTGTACCAACCCAAGACGTTTGAGAGGCCATTGACTCAGCAGACTTGCAGGCAAGCTTCAATGGACAGTCCTCCTCACCATCAGGGAACACCTCCAAACGGAGGTCTAGCTGTGCGGAAGCACCAGGCAGGTCTCTCAACTCTAAACCCTAAACAGCAGCCGTCACCCCCCATTTCAAAGGAAGCTGCGAGGCCGAATTCGAGACTTCTGAAGAGCAACTGCCAGAATGTATCTGACTAGTTCTGGAGACAAGGTTGAGGGTTACGGGATAATTAGGTACCATATGTCCCCTTTTACAAGCCTTTACGGCAGGGAATATGCATGTAAACCCTCATTCCGAAACTCCCTACATGAAGAACCACGAAGATCTGCGTCATCTGGCGCTTCCCATCCCGCTTGCCTCCACCCAAAGAAGGAAGCCTTGAAGGTCTGCAGAGGACTGGATCTCAAAGACGCATTCGCGCTGCTGCTTCAGCATCTCGTCCTGGCCGATGAGCTCCAAACCCTAAGCACCCTACACACCCTTATTGGTAGCCCAGTAGCCATATTTTTGGTTTTGGGCACCGTTTTTTGGGTCGGTTGCTTTCTGAGGGAACCCAAAACCAAAAAAACTATAAAGGGTACCACTGGGCTAGTCTGCAGGCAGGGAAAAGTAAGCTGGGAATCAGGGTGAGCTTGGTGCAGCATCTCCGTTGTGTGGATAGGGTTTAGGGTTTCGGGTTTCGGGTTTCGGGTTTAGGGTTTAGGGTTTGGGGTTTGGGGTTTGGGGTTTGGGGTTTGGGGTTTGGGGTTTAGGGTCCGCCGACCCTGGCGGCGTGTTGGATGGGAAAAGGAGGTGAAAACCCCTCCTTACCCCCCCAAAACGAGGGCCAGGCCACCCACACCGCATAAACTTGGGCGGTTTCGCACAGGACATAGAAGTCCTTTGGGAAAAAACCCACCCAGCCCCCCCCCAACCCCCCCGACCCCCCCCGACCCCCCCCTACCCCCCAACCACCCCCATCAACTTTTGGCATCCTTTGAGCTGACGAGCGCGTTTAAACCTTTCAACTATGCTCCAGCGGGGTCGGCGGCTTGAGCCGGAGGCTCTTTTTTTTGGTTAGGGGTTGGGGCTTTGGGTGTGGGGGTTACGTAGGGTCTAGGCAGGACACAGCAAGCCTTCCACTCGTTGAAATCGTACGCCTCCAGCGTCTCCGCCCCGGACAGGGCCAGCCTCTTTCATAGACCCGAGGGCAGCGCCACAGCAACTACACCGTCAGCGCAAGGGTTTAGGGTTTAGGGTTTAGGGTTTAGGGTTTAGGGTTTAGGGTTTAGGGTTTCGGGTTTCGGGTTTAGCGGTACGATCTTCAGGTCCACGAACCATCAAAATGGGTAGCTGATATGAACATTTGCACAAGGACTTTAAGGGGATCATAGAACTACCATGTGGGGGGCTGATGAATCTTCTTGTTCCGACGAGCGACCACTCAATACCCCTTGCGCCCGCCCTGGTGCACTCTTGCGCACTTCTTGTCCGCACATCAGTTTTTGCAATAGTAAGATTCCCTGATTTTAAGTACCCCAAGAAGGTACTCCTAATTTCGGAAACCCTCATGCAGGCTCCTGTACCATGCCCGCCTCTCGTAGCGCTGATCACTTCCCAGCAGCCACATGCCCGGCGGCACGGCTCCTGGACAGCCGCTGCCGTTTTCTCCACACCGGAGGCTGTTCTTATGCAATGAACCCGAAAGAGCCCCCACCACCGCATGGCGACCAAAATTGGGCAGAGCTTGGGCTGGTATTTTTGCAAAATCTAACGCCATGCTAAGTAGCAAAATACGTTTTCAAAGGCATATGATGCATGGGATGCATATACCCTAACAACCCTAAACCCTAACCCCTAGACCCCTAAACTCTGGGACGTTCCTCCTTGTCCTCACAGTCCAGAATAAGGACTTTATTAGAGAATACCATTAACCCTATTTAAGACTGTTAGCATAAGGAGGACACATCCCAGCCTAAACCCTAAACCCTAACCCTAAACCCTAAACCTTAAACTCTAAACTCCTAAACCCCTGAACTCATAAACCCCTAAACTCCTAGACCCTGAACCCTGTGTGCCTTCCTGCCCCCAGGGCGGGATCGTCACAGGCACAAAGCGGGTTCTCACCTCCAAGGTTGGCTTATCGGGTCGTCGGTAGGGCTTAGGGTTTAGGCTTTGGGGTTTGGGTTTTGGGTTTAGGGTTCAGGGTTTAGGGTTTAGGGCTTAGGGTTTAGGGGTTAGGGTGTAGGGTTCAGGGTTCAGGGTTCAGGGATAGGGTGTAGACTCTACACTGTAGAGTTTGTCTGGCGTCGCGACCTTCGCCTCACTCGCTTCTGTCAATGCTTGCGGCTCTGAGCGGGAGACAGGCAATCAGATGCCCTAAACCCTCAAGGCACCCTTTTATTCCTAGGTCATTCTTGGGTTAATATGGTTCCTTACCCTCTGCACATGGGTTCTGATGTAATATAGGGTATATGGGGGTATAGGGTTTAGGCTTTAGGGTTTGGGCTTATAAGGGAACCTCAACCCCCCTCCCCGCCCCCGACCCCCCCCCCCCCCCCCCCGCCCCCCCCCCCAAAAAAAAGATAATAACAATAATACCAATAATAACAATCATAATAACCAAAAAGGAATAAGGGCCTACTCTGGGTCCTAGACACCCAGGGTAGGAGCCCTAAGCGCCCCAAGGGGAGCTGCAAAAAAGAAAAATGACATAACGCCTGGCCCGGGATCCACTGCGCTTCGGGCTCGCACAGCCTGTCTGCTTCTTCGGGGGGGTTCAGGTTGTCTCAAGGGTTTGGGGTTTAGGGTTTAGGGTTTTGGGACGTGTCAGATGTCATAGGCTAGGGGTCAGGGGGTCAGAGTTCTCAACTTTAGAGCTACTTTGGCTTTACGGCCTCAGGGTGTCCAGACCGTTGAGGGTGCACAGGATTTCGAGCGCTTCTAACAGCCACCTGCCTGCCCCGAGCATCCAGGAAGCTACTCACCTTGTGCAGAGGTGGGAGGCAAGATGAGTATAGGGTATATAAGGGGTATATAACAGGTCCCCTTTTAAGGGACCATTTTCAGGGACCAAGTAGCTCCCCTAAGATTACAGATCAAAAGTCCATGAGCTTCAGGTTATGAAGGTCGAGGGCTCGGGATGCTTGGAGGGCTTGGGGAAACGTAAGGAGGGGGGGGGAGGGCCCTGGCCGGTCTTTAGCTTGGAGTCTGGGTCCCTATAATGGGGGTCAGAACCCTGTGCCCTGAACTGCACTGTGCTGTTTGGGGGCATCTTCAGTGGTCTTCTTTTTGCCTACGCGCAAGAAGCTGACACACCTGCTTCCTTGGCCACTGTACGGTTTAGGGTTTACGAGTGTAGGGCGCCTTTCAACCTAAGGAACAAGGCAGCCCATGGTATGGGGAATTCAAAAAAGGATCAGAGGCTGCAACTAACATCCCTTAGAGACCAGCTCCCGAAAGGGGTGTTGCTCCTAAACCCTCAACCCTAAACCATCAAGAGTGCATAGAATCTTGGGTCTTCAGGACGGGTAGATGAATTTGTCGCTGGTTGGCTCCTCAGCGTGCCTAATTACCTGCTTGCTTCCCCTTCTTGGCTTCAAGGGGCTTATTGTAAGGGAACCTAAACCCTGAAAAACATATCAACCCTGGGTCCTAGTCTCTCTCTGTCCAAACATAGCCCCCGGGAAAATTGCAGACGTGCGGCCATATACTCGTTGGCTGCCCAATCTCCGATGGTTTCCATGACAACCACCTTAACCAACAACAGCCATGGCGCATAACGACAACCGTTCTACCGGCACGGCGAACAAGCAAAAAAAACGACAATTATGGCTCATGCCAGATGCCAGCAGCAAGCCAGGCATCCGTCTTGCAATTCGAATCTTGGATCCCAACTTGGTAGCTCAGATACCATATCATGATGAGGGTACCCTTTGGAGGTTTGCTTGCTTTTTTTCTCCGGGAAACTTGAACCAAAAACATGGCAAAAGGGTACCCTGGACTACCAAGGCAACACTCAGAGTGGGCTGCTTCTTCGATACTCGCGCTGGACTTGGTTTCATGATTGAAAATGGCACCTTTGGAACACTTTCTCTTGAAGCCTTCCTTCTTACACCAACCTGGTAGCCCAGTAACCATATTCTAACGGGGGTACCCTTTTTTGGTTGGTTACTTTAGAAGCGAACCCAAAGCCAAAAAAAAGGGTAAAGGGCACCGGGCTACCCAGTGTATTGCACCCAATTGCACCGCGCGTGAGCTCAAACTTGAGCAGAAACGCACCACTGCCCACGCCGACGGAACTCAATACCGGAAAGACCTCAAAGCTTAGAACCCTCAAAACGCCCACAGCAGACAAAAGACCCGGTATGGGCCACTTGGTTGTAAATGCACGCCACCCGAAGTATTCCTCCAAGATATGGATGTACCTCAATATGTCGCTGGATCCTATACAAGAGGGGACGGCATTATAGTCTCAGGCCGTAGACACCCGGCACACCACCACCCCTAAACCCTAAACCCTAAACCCTAAACCCTAAACCCTAAACCAGCTCACAACTTCCTGAAAGTGCCGAGTTGCGTTGGCCTGGGCGCCAAGCTGTTCTTCTGCCAGTTCCTTTCAGGGGTTTTCAAGACCCTTTGCAGGTTTAGGGTAGGGTTTAGGGCTTAGGGTTTAGGGCTTCGGGTAACTTAGCGGTCCAACCAAAAGATGGCGGGCATTTAGAGGTTGTTAGCCCAGGCACGACGCCCTAACCACGGTAATGAAGTCCCAAAACTGCCGCTTCGGGCACCACTGGGCTACCAGGGTATTGTAGCTGCGGGAGCCGAGGTCGGCAGGCCAAAGCCCCCAGCAACCCTAAACAGCCAAACCCTGCACCCTGAACCCTAATCCTGTAAAGGGTTTAGGGTTTAGGGTTTAGGGTTTAGGGTTTAGGGTTCAGGGTTTACACCCTGCACCCTAAACCCTAAACCGCAAACCCTAACACGTAGGCCCCTCGAACACAACTCCTAGAAAACCCGCTTAGGGCTTGGAGTTTAAGCCAGGGCCTCCTCGGAATTCGGCGTGCGCAAAGAAACAAAGGGACTGGGAAAACAGCACTCCTACGGCCCTGAATAGACGAAAAAACAGCCAAGTTTAGGGTTTAGGGTTTTGTGTCGGTTGACAGAAACAGGGAGCCGGGCAGGGCTTACACTTTCAGTGTCTGAGGGTCTCTGAGGGTCTCTGAGGGATCTTTCAGGGTATCTGAGGGCATCTGAGGCTTTAGGGTTTAGGGTTCCGGGCTGCATTCCATGAGGATGAAGGGACCATTCGGCTGTCGAATCCGCTTTTAGGGGGGTGGTTGATTCATGCCCAACCTGACCCAAAACTCAAAAAGGTCCTGTATGATCAGGTTCCAAGCTACAAGTCGACCTTCTTTGACTCATGGACTTGTACAGGATACCTCGCCCTGAACAGCGGCACTGTTGGGTGTTAACCCCCTAAACTCTAAACCCCAAACCCCTACACCCCAAATCCCCAGAAAGCCTAGACCTTAAACCCCCCCAAATCCTAAACCCCAAACCCTGAAAACCCTAAACCCCTAATTGCCCCAATTGCATAGATGTCCCTAAGAGCTCTAAAAACGCTAAACTCCCTCAAAGAAAAAACCTTAAAGAACCCAAACAAAACTCTAAAAACCCCGAAGACACCCTTAACAAACCCTAAGCAAACCCTCAAAAACCCTAAAAGCCCTGCAGCCCTCCTGGGAAAGGCCGGCGAAGACCTGGCTGGCTCAAGGGGAGGCGTGGTCTCTCCACGTTGTCAAAGAGACCCTAAACCCTAAACTCTAAACCCTAAACCCTAAACCCCCTTGAAGAAACGCCCAATTCCTAAACCTCCCCTAAGCGCGAACCCCCCCCCCCCCCGAAATCCTAAACCCTAGGTTTCCTAACTCTAAACCACCTAAGCCCTAAACCCTAAACCCTACGAAGCACAAGCCAAGAAACCAACTGTGAGGCCTTTTTGGGGTAACCCAAACTATGATCGGGGGCCAGATATTAAACAAAAGTATAGGGCTTTCTTTTTTCTTGGGGGGGGGGGGAGGGGGGCTGGGGGGACATTATAGCAGAATTACATACGGACCATTAGGGAACACTAGTAGTACTTATTCCGACGCCTATATCAGAGAACTGACAAGGTACCATCCCCCAAAACAGGTTTCAAGCTCCATTCTCCAGGGGGTATAGGCTGTTCTGGGTAACTGGGTAGCCCAGTAACCTTAGTCTAATAAGGGTACCCTTTCGGGGGATTGGTTACTTGCTAGGCCTTGAACCAAAAAAGGGCAACAGGGTACCACTGGGTTACCAGAGTAAGTGCAACCGCCAGTGGAACCGAAAGGCTAATGAGCCTGCCATGCCAAGGAGTAGCTCCACTGCAGGATAATCCTCGAAATCACCCCCAGGCCTTTTCAAGGGATGGTGCTGCTGGGAATACTTTACACCCTAGACCCTAAACCCTAAACCCTAAACCCTAAACTCTAACCCCTAAACCCTAAACCCTAAACCCTAAACCCTAAACCCTAAACCCTAAACCCTAAACCCTAAACCGAAATTTCTAAACCCTAAACCCTAAACCCTAAACCCTAAACCCTAAACCCTAAACCCTAAACCCTAAACCCTAAACCCTAAACCCTAAACCCTAAACCCTAAACCGAAACCCTAAACCCTAAACCCTAAACCCTGAACCCTAAACCCCAAACCCCAAACCCAAAACCCTAAACCCTAAACCCTGTCCTGGCGCTTGGTGCCTTGACGCTCTCGCCGAGGAGTCGCTGGGCGCGGGCGGCAGCCCAGGTGTTGCCTTCGATAGCGAGCACCTGAGGGCGATGCCCAGCTACCGGAAATCCCGGAGTAACCGTCAGAATAGGGTTTAGGGTTTAGGGTTTAGGGTTTGGGGTTGAGGGTTGAGGGTTGAGGGTTGAGGGTTGAGGGTTGAGGGTTGAGGGTTGAGGGTTGAGGGTTGAGGGTTGAGGTTTGAGGGTTGAGGGTTGAGGGTTAGGGTTTAGGGCTCAAGTTTCAAGAAGGGCTCCAAGCCGTTCTTGGATGGGTTGCTTGGGTGTCCTGTCATGAAGGACAGGATGTCTGAGGCGTGGGCAGGGGATAGGATGGGGGACCCTTGGGCCCATAGACCCTCTCAATACAGGCCCTGTTTAAGAGAGTCAGAAGAGGGTTCAGAAGGATTCCCGTTTAAGGGCCCCCCTTATACCTAGGAATGGGCCTGGTCCGCGCCCTCTTCCATGCACAGGCGCGCAAACGGCGCGTAGGCACCGCAGCCGATTTCCAGAACTACCATCCGCTCACCTGGGGACTGAAACTCCCTAAACCCTAAACCCTAAACCCCAAACCCCAAAGTGCACGCACGCTACTTGGAGGTTCAGGGTACTTAGCAATCCATTCCAAGTGTGGTTACAACCCATATCTACGCCCCTTACGTACCGCAATAGGGTTATAACTGGGCGATAAACACAGTTCTACTTGGGGGACTAAGTACCACGAACCTCCGAGTATGCATCCCAGAAGCACACCAGGGTTTCAAGTGTAAGAAGCCGCATACCGCCGCTGCTTTGAGCCATATACACTATGTGTGTCGAGCCTTTAACACGTCTTACTTGACGGACTCTTACTTACTCTATACCTACTGACATACTTGCTTGCTTTCTGCCCTACCTAGTTGTTAATTCGTTTCGAAGCCCGCTTCTGTTTTTGCTGTTCTCTTTCTCTATCTCTGACGAAAACTTTACTGCCTTTCTGTCTTTCTCTCAAAATCTCTCTCAGAAGCTGAAGTCCACCTTGAGAATATGAATCTTGCCCCCTGAGACTGCAAACTCTCGAGCCTGAACCACGCAGCCCGCACACACGCCATGAGAGTGACAGTAAAACCACTGTAGAAGAAACCATTGTGTAAGGAACTAAGACCCTAGATCCAGGGATCTTGGGCGATGTGCGGTTGCCTTTTAGCTAAGAAACCTAGGGTACCCTACTGCTGGGGGTGCTACTTTCTGAAAATCGCGCCTACAAAGCTCTCCAAATGGACTTTTCGGCAAATATTGGGGAAGTTCTTAAACCCGGTGTGTTTCGGGTTGACACACACGGTTTTGAGAGTTTATAGGTTTAGAAACTTAGGGTACCGTAGTGCCGGCAAACCGTTTTCTTATACAGCGTTCTTACTGTACTGAACGAAGAGTCTATCCTTCACCCCAACAATCTCGAACACAACCACGAACTTCAAACATCAGCTCTCCGACTGTACGAGGTTAAGACGCCAAAGCCCTAAACCCTAAACCCTAAACCCGGTAAGAGTGTTTTTTTTTTGTTGCGGGTGCTTTTTTGCTGTGGGTGCGGGGGCGCGTTTTTTTTTTGCTGCGGGTGCGGGGGGCGCGTTTTCTTTTTTGCTGCGGGTGCGGGGGCGCGTTTTTTTTTCTGTTGCGGGTGCCGTGGGGGCGCCTTTTTTTTTGCTGCAGGTGCGGAGCGTTTTTGCTGTTTTCTCCATATTTTACTATGAAAACCTTTATTTTCTCTAATTTTCAATAGGAAAACCTCTTTCTCCTCTATATTTGAATAGGAAAACCTCTTTCTTCTCTATATTTGAATATGAAAACCTCTATTTTCTCTACATTTAGCATGAAAACCTCTAGTTTTCTAATTTCTCTATACTTCAATTCGAAAACCTCTATTTCTTTCTATTTTATAACTAAAACCTCTATTTCTCTCTATTTTTGTCTATATCGTCATAGTTTTCCTCTATATTTAATGAGGAAGACATGAGAGAGGAATACATGAGAAACTTATTCTCTGTGTTATCTCAATGTGTGACTTGCAATTAAACGTGTTTTTGTTCCTCTTGTCCTAATTTTAACAGGAAGCCCATTATTTTCTCTGTCTCTGAATAGGCAAACCTCCATTGTCTTAACATTTGAACATGAAAACCTCTATTCTCTATATTTGAATATCAAGACCTCTATACATTTTAATATGAAAACACTTTGTATTTTCGCTATATTTTCGTATGAAAGCCTCTATTTCCTCTATGTTGTCATAGGAAGCATCTAATTTCTCTATATTGTATAGCGAAAACCTCTATTGTTCTATAGTTTCTTATTTTGTCAGTATTTTCAGGCTTCTTCTCTTTATTTCACGAGGAAGACATGAGAGAGGAATACATGAAAAGCTCATTCTCTATATTGTCATAAGAGTACATGCATTATCTCTATTTGTGACTCGTAGACAACAAGTGTTTTTGTTCATGTCTCATAACACAAGCTCTATTTTCTCGATTCTTTACTAAGAAGACGTTTATATCTCTATTTTTAAACGGAAAACTCAACTTCCACCATAAGGTCTGAATTTTCGTAGGAAAGCAAGCATATATTCCCTCTTTCTTCAGGGGGTTGGGGGCTGCGCAGACCGCCGCATTTGAAAGCACAACGCTCGCATCATGGGTTTGGAAGGGATTCGTAAGCTTTGAAGCAGGCTTGCCGGCTAAAAAAGCGGGGGGTTGGGGGGGGCGCAGCCCCCCCCATTTGCAAACACAATGCTCGCATCATCATGGGTTTGGAAGGGATTCGTATGATTGAAGCAAGTTTGCCCGGCTAAAAAGCGCAGCCCCACCCCCCCCCCTTTCAAGCGGGGGGGAATGCTCTCATGATGGATTCGGAAAGGATTCATTTGCATTGAAGCAAGCGGCATGGCTTTAAGAAGCGGGGGGGTTGGGGGGGGCGCAGCCCCCCCTATTTGCAAACCCAATGCTGGCATGATAGGCTTGGACAGGATTCATATGCTGAGAAGCGACCTGGCACGGTTTTAAAGAGGGGGGGGGGGGTCGGGCGGGGTGCAGCCCTCCCTCCACCGTTTGCAAACACAATGCTCGCATGATGGCCTTTGAGAAGGATTCAGTGCTTTGAAAACGCTTGCGCAGTTTAAAGGAGGGGGGGCGTTGGGGACGGGGTTGGGGAGGAAATTGCAAAACAAATGACCTGGGGGGTGGGGAGGAAAGGGGGGGGGGGGCGTTTTTTTTTTTGCTGGGGGGTGCGTTTTTTTTTTTGCTGCGGGGCGGGGGCGCGTTTTTTTTTTGGCTGCGGGGTGCGGGGGCGACACGCACCAGGTCACTCAGTCACCTGGGGGGTGGGGAGGAAGGGGGGGGGAGGGGGGGGGAGGCGTTGTTTTTGCTGCTTTTTTTTTGCTGCGGGTGCGGGGGCGACACCTGGGAGTGGGGAGGAAGGGGGGGGGGGGGGGGGGGGGGGAGGGGGGGGGGAGGGGGGGAGGGGGGGGGAGGGGGGGGAGGGGGGGGGGGGGGGGGGGGGGGGGGAGGGGGGGGGGAGGGGGGGAGGGGGGGGGAGGGGGGGGGGAGGGGGCGCGTTTTTTTTTTGCTGCGGGTGTGGGGGCCCCTTTTTTTTTTTGTGCGGGGGCGACACGCACCAGGTCACTCACTCACCGGGGCGGCCCCCGAAAAAAGCACCCACAGCAAAAAAGCACCCACAACAAAAAAAAAAACACGGGTTCCCCCTAAACCCTAGCCCTAAACCCTAAACCCTAAACCCTAAACCCTAAACCCTAAACCCGGCACCTGCGCCTTGCAAGCGCTTGGCAGAGCGGCGCAGTGCCCTGGCTCCAAGTGCAATAACGAGAGCATCTTGCGGCTCAGAGTCTAGCTAGGGTTTAGGGTTTAGGGTTTAGGGTTTAGGGTTTAGGGTTTAGGGTTTAGGGTTTAGGGTTTAGGGTTTGGGGTTTGGGGTTTGGGGTTGGGGTTTGGGGGGGTTTGGGGTTTGGGGTTTGGGGTTTGGGGTTTGGGGTTGGGGTTTGGGGTTTGGGGTTTGGGGTTGTTGGGGTTTGGGGTTTGGGGTTTGGGGTTTGGGGTTTGGGGTTTGGGGTTTGGGGTTTGGGGTTTGGGGTTTGGGGTTTGGGGTTTGGGGTTTGGGGCTCAGAAGTTTAGGGTTTAGGGTGGCCTTAAAAAGGGGTGCCCTTTTTGAGTTAAAGGGGCTTGTAAGGGAGTAAGCCCCTAAAGCAGGGGAATAAAATAGGATCGCAGTACCCCCTATTACAATCCCTAAATTAAACCCTGAACCCTGAACCCTAAACCCTAAACCCTAAACCCTAAACCCTAAACCCTAAACCCTAAACCCTAAACCCTAAACCCTAAACCCTATGTGAGAATCAGGGATGTTGTCAGCCCCAGGGGAACTAGGTGCCATTCTACACTATTTGCTTAAGCCCCCCCCGCCCCCCTCCCCCCTCAGCAAGGCAACGTAAAAAATATAACGATCCCTATTTTAGCAACAAAAAAAAGATAATGATCCCTATAGTACCCTTTTAAACATTTTAGGAAATGTTGTTATTTGCTTTGGGTGCTTTTAGTGGGATTTGACGGTGTTTGGGGTGCCTGATGGACCGAATTGGCTGAACTGGCACAATTTATGAGATGTGGGAGACGGCAGCGGAAAGGCAAACACTCGGCGCCACTTGCACTCTTCAGCATCAGCGTTTAGTTCAAGCTAGCTTTGCTTAGTTCATCAAGCATCTGATTGGTTGCCCTAGACACCAACCCGAATTAAAATCTTTAAGCCTTTCGGAGAACAAGTCTCAATATATGCTGGGGGTGAACCATATGGCTTTGGGGGCAACCCGCATGTCCTCCGGAAAGACGCCGACTTCTTCTCGTCACTGGCCATCATCGCGTAGCTGAGAAGACTGTAGCCTCGTCAAATTCCGGGTTTAGGGTTTCGGGTTTAGGGTTTAGGGTTCAAGGTTTAGGGTTTAGGGTTAGACGGACGAACCCTTAAACCTCAAGGCCCCACGTCCCTTCCGCCTGGAGGCCCAGGGTGCAACACCCGGTATCACTGTGTAGAAGATTCAGGCGAGAGCAGGACCAGGACGGGCCATCGCACCCTATAACCCCTTAAGAAGGCACTTTATAGGGTTGATTATGGGGATTGTAGGGCCTAAAGAGCCCATCCTGGGAGGGATACCCCCCGACTCTATCTCGTAAGAGGTCGACACAACCAGGAGCGCCTCACAACCTTTTTGCGAGCTCGGGGTGTTATTTCTCCCCCGCCCCTCCCGACTACCCTACACAAACCTGTAGCCACAGAAAGGCATGGTAGCCCAGGAACCATATTAAAATAAGGGCGCCCGTTTTTTGGCTAGGTCATTTTATAAGGGAACCCGGAACCAAAAACAAAGGGCAAAGGGTACCACTGGGCTACTGCACCAAGAAACCCAAACCTGTAGCCACAGCTAGGAAGTTCTAGTTCATGGTTGGGATAGTATTGGAAACTTAATTTGCTATTCCTTGTTGGGCTTAAGTATAAAGCACCCTTGAAAACGTAAAATGGTACCCAACTATGACTAAGAGCTGTAGAAAGCGGAGCGCTCTCTGCTCGGTGGTTCGCTCAGGAACACAGCTTCGCAGCTGAAACTCATATGGCCAGGTTGATCCCAGAGACCCGCTGAGAAGCATATGACCCAAAAAGGTGCTCTTTGTATCCTCAACAAGGGTATAAACGAAATTGCCCAAACCCGAAACCATAAACCTAAACCCTACGAGTACCTAAGGATGGGGTGGAGAGTGTAGGCTGGCGCCCGGGCGGCCGAAGCCAAGAAGCGTGTGTTGAAGGTCTGGACATCTGTGCGTACCGTCCTCCCCAAGCTGCAGGGGGTTTTGAGGTTTTTGTTTATTTTGAGGTTTTTGAGGGGTTTTTGAGGGTTTTCAGGGTTTTCAGGGTTTTTGAGGGTTCTGAGGGTTTTGGGGGTTTTGAGGGTTTAGGGCCCCTTTCCCTGCATAGGGACCTCGCAGGTCCGGAAAAAAGGACATCAGCAACAACAGAACACCCTAACTTGATTTGTGCACCTGGGCAGGGAACCGAGAACCCGGTTCCTATGAGTCAGAGAAGAAGCGTTTAGGGTTTCATTAGGGTTTAGGGTTTAGCCTCCATCTCTTAAAGCCCGGAAAACAGACTTAAGCTGCCAAACTCCGCCGAAGGCCTTGAGGCCTGAGCATCTAATGCCTGAAGCCAATCAAACTTTTACACCCCAAACACTTCACGAATGAGTTGCACGATGCCCCCAAACCCCTGCTTAAACCTCACACCTATGGAAGAAAGGCTGCAGCTTTGAGGGCTTACTCTCGTATGGACGTCAGTAGCACAGCGCATCGGATCTCTATGTTGTGTGGTCCTTTTAAAGGGGGTCCCTCACACAGCATCCGACAGGTTCCAACACCATAACGGTTCATTGCGGGCAATCAAAGACCGCATGGCCCTGAGAAGACCCCACAGATGTAGGGTTCGGGTTTTCTGAAGGTAGTGACATGGTCCCTGAGTATGGGACCTTAATTGGGACACCTTGTATCCTTTTTTTATACCCTTTAAAACGCAAGGGCCCTTACTTCCGAACCCTTTGGAGAAGGTAAGGGACCATGGAACTACCCTTCGAGGGTTTAGAACTCCAAGGCCCGTAGATGGGGACCCCTTATAAACCCCCATATACCCGTCAAAACTCAAGGGCCCTTACTTCAGAATCCGATGAAACTATACCCTTGGAGGGTGCAGAGCTCTAAGACCCTAAGACGCCACGTCGCTACGTGGGGGGGGGTGGGGGGGCGCACCTGTAACGCTTTCCGGCCACTGAGCGGCCTGCGCGCCGCAGCGCCCACACGCAGAGCGCGGTGAACCAAGCCAACGCCTCTGAACAAAAAGGCTTAAGGTTCAGGGTTTGGGGTTTAGGGTTCTTAGGGTTTAGGGTTCAGGGTTCAGGATTTGGGGCTTAGGGTTCTTAAGGTTTAAGGTTCTTAGGCTGTTGGGTTCAGGGTGTAGGGCTTCGGGCAGGCCAATACGTGTACAAGTTCTGCAACAACGACAGTTTCGAGACATTGGATTATGCAGCAACATGATTGTCCTCAGTCATTGTCCCGTGGGTACGTCTTTCATCCAAAATAGGGTTTAGGGTTTCGGGTTTGGGGTTTAGGGGAGTTGTTTCCGTTAAGCCTCGGGTTGTTGGACTGGCCCGGCAGTTCAACAAACAAACAGCCAGGGCCTCAGTTGAAGTTCCTAGTTTGTAGTTTGCCATCGTTCCTGCGCACTCTCACACCCGGTCGTATGCCAGAGAGAGGCCCGCATGACAGTTCGCCTAAACCCTAAACCCTAAACCCTAAACCCTAAACCCTAAACCCTAAACCCCAAACCCTAAACCCGAAACCCTGAACCCTAAAAACCATCAACCCTGAACGATCGTGACTTCAGGGAGTTTCGATGCTGCTAGAGCCTTCACCATGGTAGACACTCTCTTAGTTGTCCAGTAGCCTGGGGGAACTAAAGGTTTAGGGTTTCGGGTCAGGGTTTGGGGTTTAGGGTTTAGGGTTTAGGGTTTAGGATTTAGGGTTTAGGGTTTAGGGTTTAGGGTTTAGGGTTTAGGGTTAGGGTCTAGGGTTTAGGGTTTAGGGTTTAGGGTTTAGGGTTTAGGGTTTAGGGTTTAGGGTTTAGGGTTTAGGGTTTAGGGTTTAGGGTTTAGGGGGAATGAGGGGATTCTATTACCCCAAAAGAAGGTTAAAGGTTACCTACCCTACTACGAGGTTCTCATCCCGCACAAGCACCCCCCCTAAACCTCACGCTCAGACCACCCGAAACCTTGGTCTCCCTAAGCTCTCTAAAAACCCAGACGCCAAAAACCCTACACCCTAAAAGCTTAGAAAGCCTATACACCCTATAAGCCCTAAGACCTTATAGAGCCTATAACTTCAGAAACTCTGGACTCCGAACCCTCCGAACCCTCTCCTCTCAGCCCGGAATTCTGAAGCCTCAGCCCTAAATTCTCACAAGCCCAAGAAGCCCTGAACCTCAAAGCACACCAGCCAGCACCTGAATTACGAGGTTTCATCCCTCAGCCCAAGTATTGGCGGCCTCCTCGACCTGCCACCATAGAGACTGCCAGAAAGGTGGATCCAATCTCGAACCACCTGCGGGCAGTACCAAGACATGGGGCTGTAGAGCTCAACTACTTTAGGACTTAGGGCCCAATACACCCCAAAACCCTAGACCCTAAACCCTAAGAACACTAAACCCTAAGAACCCGAAACCCTTAGAAGCCTAAACTCTAAGAACCCTAAATCCTATAAGGACCCTAAATCCTAAACCCTGAGAACCCTCAACCCTGCAACAACCCTAAATCCAAAACCCTAAGAACCCTAAGCCCTATAAGACCCCCAAACCCTAAACCCTAAACTAACCTTATAAACCTTAAACCTTAAACCCTAAACCGCAAACCCAAAACAGAACAACCCTTAATTCTCAACTCCAAGAGCCAGTCGGAAACCCTAAGAACTCTAAACCCTAGAAGAATCCTAGGAACCTTGCATACCCTAAGAACCCTAAGAACTCCAAGATCCCCAGGAACCCTAAACCCTAAACCCTAAACCCTAAGAACCCTAAGAACCCTAAGAACCCTAAGAACCCTAAGAACCCTAAACCCCAAACCAGAACAACCCTTAATCCTCAACTCCCAAAAAACCCTAAACCCTAAACCCTAAACCCTAAACCCTGAACCCTAAACCCTAAACCCTAAACCCTAAACCCTAAACCCTAAACCCTACCAGCCCTAAACCCTACCAGCCCTAAACCCTGAACCCTAAACCCTACCAGCCCTAAACCCTACCAGCCCTAAACTCCCAGGGCGAAGTCGGGGGCTTCCGGCCGTGGCCGCCGTTGCAGGCCCGGGCTGCCGCCTCCAGTCGCGGTGGCGCCACCTCCACTCACAAAGTGCCCGACACGTTTAGGGTTTAGGGTTTAGGGTTTAGGGTTTAGGGCTTAGGGTTTAGCGTTTAGGGTTTAGGGTTTAGGGTTTTGGGTCTAGGGTCTAGGGTCTAGGGTCTAGGGTCTAGGGTTTAGGGTTTGGGGTTTGGGGTTTGGGGTCTTCATTTCTATCTCTTCAGACTACGGATTTCCCTTCTCCAGCGCCTTTTTAAATTCTAACTCGAGTTGAACCTCGAAAGCCCATGTAGCCACAATCTCCCAGTGTGTGGCCGCTGTGCACGAAGTAGTGCTCTTTGACTCTTGTCTTTTCTGATACTTCCATGGCTCGCGTGACTAGACCCGGGAGTAACCTGGGAATAAAAGGGTACCCTTTTTGGTTTTAAGGGGATTATAAGGGAACCCCAACCCTAAAAAATGAAAAAGGGCCTACCCCCGGTCCTAGGTGAACTTTGGTTCGCCACAGTTACATGGGAAGAGCGAGGCAACGCTTGACTTGCAGCCCGCTCCACCCAGAAGCTTTCCAATCCCAGTTCTATCGCACATGCCCTGAACCACACCCTAACCCTCAACCCTAGACCCTGAACCCTAAACCCTAAACCCTAACCCTAAACCCAAAACCCTAACTCAAGCACCAATTGCTGGGCCTTCTGAAGCAGTTGCACAGACTATTAAGGCTGGACTCCCTAGCAACCTAAGAAAAAAAGGAAGGGGCACCCGCATTGGGGTGTCCAAAAGGGGAATAAGGGCACTACTGGGCATCCTGGATACCTAACCCTGAACCCTGAACCCTGAACCCTGAACCCTAGACCCTAGACCCTAGACCCTAGACCCTAGACCCTCGACCCTAAACCCTAAACCCTAAACCCTAAACCCTAAACCCTAAACCCTAAACCCTAAACCCTGAACCCTGAACCCTGAACCCTGAACCCTGAACCCTGAACCCTGAACCCTTGACTTCCGAGCTACTGCGCCCGGTCGTGCTGCGAGCCCTGCACCGCAATGCCACAGGAAGGCCACCATTGCAGTCTCGCCCTGTTGCCTACATGCCGCTGCTGACGCGTGCGGGTGCTCCCAACTGTGATGTCCCAGCCATCCCAACTAACATCCGTTCCCTGAACGGTTTAGGGTTTAGGGTTGAGGGTTTAGGGTTTAGGGTTTAGGGTTCAGGGTTTAGGGTTTCGTTCCCGTTTTGGGGCAACTAGGTGGCCACGGACGTGGAACGTTAGCTGGCAGACGAGGCTTGTCGACGCTGAGTTGCCCCTGATGATTTCTTCTAGAGTGTGTGTGTGTGTGTGTGTGTGTGTGTGTGTGTGTGTGTGTGTGTGTGTGTGTGTGTGTGTGTGTGTGTGTGTGTGTGTGTGTGTGTGTGTGTGTGTGGTTTCAGAGTCTGTCTAAACGCAACCCGGTTGCGGCATGAAACGTGACAGCTGTACGTTGCCTTGCGAGCCCTGCAGGTTTTGCTTCTTGCCAAACCTGAAGCCTTAAGCCCTAAACCGTTTAACTACCTGAGCCGTAAACTGCTACTTCCCTGTCACCCTCAACCCTAAACCCCCAAACCCTAGACCCCAGTATTCCAAGCCAGCAACTGCTCCTCCTGAGCCTTCTTCAAACTGACCTCGAAGCCCTAAACCCTAAAAGGGTCCATGTAGGCATATAATTATGAACTTGGGCCCGAAGGCTACAAATAGGTACCCCTTTCAGACCCAAGTATATACTATATGGGCACGTTGACCCTTAGTTATGGGGTTCTTAAGGGAGGGGGGTTCATGGGGGGAAAGGTACCTAGGGAACCTGAAGGGAAGCTTAGGGAGCCTTCGGGAGTAGTAGGGAGTATTAGGGAGCCTTGGGTTCAATACCCCCCTTGAACCCCCCTCCCTTAAGAACCCTCTATTTAGGGTTAAACCCCTCCATGCAAGCAACAAACTCGACTTTGTAGGAACCTCATGGAGACGAGTGTAGTTACACCTTTCTGGGCTGGCTCAGAAAACCCAAGACAGAAATACCACTAAACCCTAAACCCTAAACCCTAAACCCTAAACCCTAAACCCTAAAATAGCTTCAATAGCTTCAATAGCTTCACTTCCAGCCCTCTTGCCCTTGTTGACCCCATCCGGGGCCAGGGAAGGGGCACCAGTGGGTGGCGCGCCACTCCCAAGCCCTGCTTGGCGAGTCGGTGCCACGCACTACACTATGTCTCCCACTGATCGGCACGTCTTCTTTTAGGTCCCAGGCTGGGTCACGGCAGTTAGGGCCAGGCGCACGGCTTGACTAACGTATCTGGCACAAACGAGGTTCTCATTCACGCTGCCGTTTGCCTGGAAAAGGATGCTGAAAAACATCGGTGCCTCAATCTGTCGGGAGGCCAAGGCTGATGCGCCTGTCAGGTGGAAGAGGTCACGCGTGCCCTCACACACGTAGAGGCAATGCGCTACGTCGATCTCAACTTCGCCGCAGAGAGGACAGACCTCCAGGGTCTCACTATTCGCGCCATAATCCAGCAGCTGCAGCGGCCAGAGACCGCTTAATCTAATGAACGCCCACACCCGCATGCAATCCCAGTCAGCGGCATCTGCGTCTGGGGTGACACTTTCCCAGGACACACAAGCTCTGTCAGGAAATAACTGCCTCAGTGTCAGATGAAAGCCCGGCAGCATCTTTGACGCAGACTCTTGAAACTCAGCCTCATCCCTTCGCATGGCCTGCGGAAGAACAATCATCTTCTTGTATCTTCGCAGGATTTCCCGGCGAAGGGTTGAGTTCTGGCGCGCCTGCTCTAACAAGCTGAGTGGCGCCACGCCTGCCTCAACCAAAGACGGGCACCACATGTCATGAGATTCAAGGGCATCTTTCGTCGCTTGCCACCACGTGCCATCATGGAGCCCCTGCGCCAGATGGAGCATTCTAACCACAGGACAGTCGCGGGGCAATAGCTCAACCTTGGCCAGAAACATGACTGCCTTTACGAGAGCCTTGGTGCCAAGTCGGTCACGCCATCCCATCTGTGCAACTGCCAGAGAGCCGCGAATCCCATGCACCGTTTTACCGCCTTGGTCAGCAAGGATGGCTCTCGCCCAGTCACTTTGCAGCGCGTTCAGCTGCCGGTAGCTTTCAGGAATGAGGGGGAGGATCTCTGCACCATACAGAATGACAGGTTCAATCCTCTCAACAACCGCGTGGGCAATAACTGCTGGGGAGAAGCCAGCGTGTGACAGCAACACGAAAAGTTCCTTAAAGAGTGCCCTGCCAACCCGATTTAGGAAACCCAAGCGGGACCTAAACGTGAACTCACAGTCAACATGCACCCTCAGCAGCTTGTAAGATTCACAAATGATGTCAGGCAAGGCCGGCACTACAGCACCAAAACATGGCATGACAGCGGTTTTCGAAGGGCCCATGTTGAAGCAAGCTTTTACCATGCGAGCAAATTGCGGCAGTCCAGATGTGACCGCATATTCTACTTCAAGTGCACTAGCAAAAGAGGCGACAACGTCATCAATGAAGAGCAACGGCCCCAAATGTTGTGACCCTAGCAGCTCCATGCACCGAACCCGCTCTGGTTCAGGGAGGCGAGACAGCAAATGGATGGCGATTCGTCGCATTTCTGACAGCGACGCCCCATGTGTCCAAGCAAAGCCAAGATGCTGCGCAGCCATTGTAGCAGACAGGGCATTTGTTTCTGCTGGCAGGGGTGCTAATGGAAGCGGGGTGAGGTGCTCCCACAGACCAGAAATGGCATCAGCAGCAAATTCGGGCAGCACAGTTGCAGCCGGGTTGCAGGCGCTCACTAAGACAGCTTGTAAGAGGCGCATGAATGCCGTAAATGCGTGAACGGCGAATTTTCTGCCTTGCGGGATGCCTGCCCGAAAGGTTAGTGCGCTTGACACAGCGTTGCCTAATGTGACAATTGCAGAATCCATAAGGAAAAAATCAAAAAGGAGATTCCACTCAGTTTGCACAACACCAGCCAAATAGCATGTTGTCAGAATGGCTGCCTGGTTTGCAGTGTCATACGCCTGTTTCAAGTCTGCGAAAAGAAGAAAAGTTGTCAGGTCTTGCTGCTGACGCAGTTGCACATGAAGGATGACAGCAAGAATGACACTCATTGTGTCAAATTTGCCTCCAATCTGTTGCGAAGTGGAGTACTTTTCAAGAAAATGTTGAGTACGACTTAGCCACAGGCCATCCTGGACAGCAGCCATTTCAGTTGCAATGCTAATTGGCCTAAGGTTTGACACCAATCGTACTACACGAGGACCAGCTTTCCTTAGTGGCGAAACTCGCCTTATGCGCCAGTGCGATGAGGTGAGCTGCGTTTGCCTGCCAAGATTCATTAAGTCAAGCAAGAGTTGCCGGGCAGCAGGGCACGCCACCTTGACCGAAGCCAAGGGTCCATGCAGGCTCTGCTTTCTGGAGTTGACTCCAGAAAGTACTTGCTCCAACTCAGACATACTGTAAGCTTCACAATTACTTGCAGTGTTATGCAGCGGCGGCACGAAGAGTCCTGGGAACCCTGTTGCTGGAGCACCACCTGACCTGATGGTTTTTACTGCCAGGTCAAGGAACTGCTGAGCTTCCGACTGTTGCGGGAAATTGTTCTCAGCACGGCCAACTAAGTCGTCACTTACTGCAGACAAAGCCGCAGAGGTGCTGAGTAGCTGGCCAGTGTCTTCGTTTGTGAGTGCAATATGGAACTGACTGGCCTTCTTTGTGTGGGTGGAAATGAACTGCTTGGCCCGACTAGGGTCCACCGAGAGAAGGTGCTTGAAGCGGAGCAGTGTCTGAGATTGAAGCTCATCATCAAATTTTCTTGCAGCAGTCTTGAAGGTTTCGTAATCGGCAAAGTCCTGCGGCCTAGGTGGAGTCAAAGTTGCGGCCCCCTGAGTTTTACCACTTCGGTTGGGCAGGGAAGCCTTGACCAGGTGGCAGCAATGTCCAGCCACCACGACGATGGCTTCTCGAGACCACGCCGCGGCATCTAAAATTGCTCGCTTGCGCTTGGGCGGTATGTGGTTACATAAACCCTAAACCCTAAACCCTAAACCCTAAGCCCTAAGCCCTAAGCCCTAAGCCCTAAGCCCTAAGCCCTAAGCCCTAAACCCGAGTTAGTTTTCGACACCTTGCTCCCAGAAACCCCCAGGAACCCTCAGCCCTAAAACCCTTTAATCCTAAGCCTTGGAGGCACTGGAAAACCAGCAACCCTTTTGAACGCATTTTAACCCCTAACCCCTTTAAACCGCGCCAATCCCTAACCCCTGTTTAGGATTTAGGGTTTGGGGTTTAGTATACTAAGGTGCTGAGTTCATAAGCCCCAAAAAGTGTACACTTTCAGTTCTACAGGAAATTGTAGTATCCCAAAAAGTGTAAAGTGTACTCACTCAGCTACTAAGTATATGACCTAAACCTAAACCCTAAACCCCTAAACCCTAAACCCTATACCCTAAACCCCTAAAACCGTAAAGCCCTTAGACATAATGCAAGCCAGGGAAGACCGCATCTCCTGCATGTCGGTGCTATCCATGAGTGCCTTAAGGCTTCGCGCATGGGACACTGCGCAGTAGGGTTTAGGGTTTAGGGTTTAGGGTTTAAGGTTTAGGGTTGAGGGTTCAGGTTTCAGCAGGGTTTACAAAAGGACGGCCCTCCCCCTTACTATACAAACAGTGATTGATAGTGACTGCTAACCTAAGTTCTCGTACTTAAACCCTAAACCCTTATAAACCCTAAACCCTGAACCCTAAACCCGAATTGCGGCTCTTAAAACTCTACTTACAACTAGGCGGGGAGCCTCCTTGTTAGGTTCTTGGATTGAGCAATGTCGGGGCTTCAGGCAGAGGAGCTGATAGGGATCTAGGGCTATTTAGGGTTTAGGGTTTAGGGTTTAGGGTTTAGGGTTTAGGGTTTAGGGCTTAAGGACCGTTTTGGGGTATCCTGACGATCTGCGCAGTGCAGAGGGCTATGGGGCGTTTAGGGTTTAGGGCTACTTGGGGTTTAGTTTTTAGGGTTTAGGGTTTAGGGTTTAGGGTTTCAGGTCCAATGATGCCTCTCAAGGAACTCCGGAACCCGCCAAACTCACAAAAAGGAAGCCCAAATGTAAACAAACCTAAAACCCTAAACCCTAAACCCTAAACCCGAAACCCTAAACCCTAAACCCCTAAGCCCCAAACCCTAAATCCCTACACTCCAAGGCCCTAAACCCTCGCCAAGGGGCCTTGAGCTGTTGCTCAGCCCGATCCCGCTCTTCGGCAGCATAGAGCTCTTCAATCTGGGGCCAGGACTGCTGTTTAGGGGGGTTTAGGGTTTAGGGTTTAGGGTTCAGGGTTCAGGGTTCAGGGTTTTGGGCTTGGAGTTCAGGCTGTGGGGTTGATGATGTAGAGGAGCACGAGGACGAGGTCTGAGAATGACTGTGCGACTTGCAGGTTAGGATTGTCGGGGCGGGGGGGGGGGGGGGGTGGCTGAGCAAAAAAGGGTCTATTTAGAAGCTACCGCCTGGGATTATTAATCAATTTTAGCATATCCAAGACAACCCAGCTACTTCTCCAACAACGTCTCACGCATATGCGCACTTAGACAACTCATTTCGGACTGATAAATGTTTTGGCTCTTGCAATCTCAGACCCTAAGCCCGGAACCCTGACCACAAATTCGTACACTCTAAAACCCTACACAAGAAACTCTATACCGTATTTCCTAAACTCTAACTCCTAAACCCAGAATCTAGAAAGAAAAGGAGGAAAAAGAAAGAATCATGTGCAGACGTTCCTGTGTTCCTATCTTCGGAGTTCTTCTATTCCTATCTCTGCTGATTTTTCAGAATGGAAGGAGGGCTTCATTTTCCCTCTCACTTTTCCGTTCACTTTTCTTTTCTCACTCCAAGCAGAAGGGAGAAGACAAGGGAGAGAGGTGAGAGATAGAGAGCCCCTTGCAGCTCAATAAACAGAAAGGTGACCAAAATGGATGAAAAGATCGCCTGCTTTCATTTCTAAACGGCCTGTCCCCGCCTTCTTTTCTTTGCACAGTGCAGACATAAATAAACACGAAAGAAGAAAGAGGGCCTTTCCCTACTATTTCCTTCGCTATCCTGGAATCCTGGTTCGGAAAAGAAAGGAACAGCTACCAGCCCCCCTCCCGACTTTCATCTTTCCATTTCTTTGTTTCGTCACGCTCAAACGGACAGAAGAAGGGCGGCCTCTAGTGTTTCCTCGCCTCCTTCTGCACTGCTATAACTTCCTTTCTTTTCTCTTCTGTTGCTTTGTGTGACAGGTGCGGGGGCATTTCTTTCACTTTTCCCATCGAAGAAAGGCTCCCTTCCTATCCGCATATTTTCTTTTCTCTTCCTTCCGAAAAAGACTATAAGAGGCAGGGATAAACAGAATGAAAGAGGAGTCTCCTTTGCTTTCCGACTACCTTCTCACCACAAAAAGGAACCCTTCTCTTTCTTCCCTTGACTTTCTTTTATCTTGTTTGCATTCTACGTTTCCCACTAAGAAAATGAGACAATGATGAAGATAAGTGAAGAAAGATCACCTGCCTGCACGCAGGTTCTCGGGAGCTTGTCTCGACCGGGCCGTCCCTCCTTTCCCCGCACGTCCCTTCGCTTGTCCCCATTGATCTCTCGCGTCTCTTCCCTTTGCACTCTCTCGCCTCTGGCCCGCCTTCCATGCTGAAAATGCTGAAGAGATACGAAAAGAAGAGCTCATGATTCTTTCTCATTTCTTCTTCTTTATCATTCCCATATGAGTAAAGAAGAAAGATTAGGAGAGAGAGCCCTGCGGCAATTCCTGTTTTGGGCGGAAGAAAAGAAACAAAGAGATAATAAGAGAGAAGAACGAATAAGAAGGTGCCGGGAACGAAGATGGAAACTGCTCCTTCACCCTGGTCTATCGCTTCCTTTTCGAATTTTTTCGGAAGGAAGATCGAAGATAGTGGGAAAAAAGGAGTGAAGTGCCCGTAGAAGGGAGAAAGTGAAAGGGATGCCCCCGCAACTTTCATATTTTGATAAGAATGCAAGCGCCAGCAGAGAAGAAAGGCAGAGAGAATAACGAGGAAAGAGCGGAAACCGAGGAGATTAGGAGCCAGGTTTCCCTGATTGATTCTCGTCACTTTTCTCTGTTTTGGGAAGGTAAAGGGCTTTATATCTCCCACCTCTCTCCCTTGTCTTTTTGGTTGGAGTGAGAAAATATAAAGAAAGCGAAAGGAAAAGTGAGAGGGAGAAAGAAGCCCTCCTTCCATTCTGAAAAATCTACAGATTTAGAGACAGGAATAGGGGACAATATGGAAATGATTCTTTCTTATTTCTTCACGTTGTCTCCTTTCCCTATATGACTCCCTTGCGATTTCCCTTTTGGTTGGAGTGAGAAGAGACAAAAGAAAAGTGAAAGGAAAAGTGAGAAGGAGAAAGGACGCAGAGATAGGAATAGAAAAACTCAGAAGAGACACAGTCTCAGACAAGATAATTTGCTGACTTGTGATTGCGTGGCTGCCTTGGCAAGAGTTGTTGCTGGAATGGCTTTTGGGAAGAAAGTCGGAGGTGCACTTTTCGATCCAGGCGTGTTTCGCGAGCCGCAGCTTCTGGCCTCCTCTTGCTTGGGCGTGGCCAAGCGCCAGGGAGCAGAAATGCTGCGTTTTTCAAGTTTCAAATTCGTTTCTGTAGAGACTAGTTGCAAAATAGTTTCAAAATCCAGTTGCAAAATCGTTGTTAAGGGGAAACTGCGTTTTTCTACGCGCAATTGCAAAACATGCAGAAGTTCTGGTTTTCAACAAGCGCGGACAGAAATTGCAGCTCCTCCTTAACAGCGATATTTCAACTGGATTTTGAAACTAGTTTGAAACTGACTTGAGACTAATTTGAAACTATGGAAACGATTTTGAAACTCGAAACACTACCATATTCCGGACTTTCTGCCCCCCTCCTGGCCCCTCACATATGGCCCTCACGCACGGGAAGTTGACTTTGGTCAGGCGTGACTAAAGACCAGAGCTTCCGAAAGCTTGCCAATCTCCGGACAGTAGGAATAGAGGAATGTGTGGAAATGATTCTTTCCTAGTTCTTCATCTTCTTTCTCCTTTCCCTATGTATGAGAAAAGAAGACAGACAAGGAGAGAGCCCCCTGCAATTAGGAATTTCCCCAGAAGAGAAAGCGAAAGGGATGCCCCCGCAACTTTCACGTTTTTGAGAAGAATGTAAGCACCAAAAGAGAAGAGAAAGGAAAAGAGAATAGCGAGGAAAGAGGCAAGGAAACACAGGAGGCAGCCCCTCCGCTTGCTTCTTGAATGAAAAAGACATCGGAGAAATGGAAACATGAAATTGAGAGGGAAGTTGCGCTTTTCCTTGCTGAAGAACAAAGCAATTCCAAAGAACATGGAAAGCACAAGGAATGAACTGGGAAAGGTAGGGAAAGGGATTCTTCCCTTTTTTTGCTTTCCTTCAATCTGCGATGTAAAGGGAAAAGATGCAGCGGACAGGTCTGAAAATACAGGCATGTGATCTTTTTTCCTTATTGTCATCATTGTCTCATTTTCTCAGTGGGAAACGTCTCATTTTCTCAGCGGGAAACGTAAAGTGCAAAAAGATAAAAGAAAGAAAGTAGGGAAGAGTTGGAAGGTTCCTTTTTGTGGTGAGAAGGTAGTCGGAAAGCAACAGGAGACTCCTCTTTCATTCTGTTTATCCCTACCTCTTATAGTCTTTTTGGGAAGCAAGAGGGAAGAACATACGCGGATAGGAAGGCAGCCTTTCTTTGATGGGGAAAAGGAAAGGGATGCACTGCCCCCTCAATTTTCATGTTGATGGGAATGTAAGCACCAGGAGAGAAGAAAGGAAGAGAGAATAGCGAGGAAAGAGGCAAGGAAACACATGAGATTAGGAGTCAGGTTCCGGTGATTG